CAATCTTGAAACGAGCCCACGCTACAGAACGAAGAATGCTGACCGCCATTGCTTACAAAGATGACGGATATAATAATTCCCGCCTCGTCCTGATTGGTTGCTAAGGTGAATGCCACATTTACGAAATTGAGTTGCGTTTAATTGCAGCCATGTATGTATTATGTGAATACGTCGTAACTGCTCACGACACATTAATTCGCCCCGCCTATTGTCTTGTCTTAAACTTGCAGATCAGATAAAACTATTAAGAGATTGATCTTTGATCCTGAATATGTTGGTTAGCAAAAATATCTGAAAGTGTTGAGCATTTTCAGTGGATTTTACATTGGTCTTGAATATGCCTTTAGGGTTGGAAAGTTTTTCTAATAAATACGCCACACATAGGTTTCTCGCGCTAGAGTTTTATAGTTAGAGCTCGCTATATATATGAAAAATAGAACTGTTATATCCAGGATTCACGATTATTGATGGATGTCATTTTTTTAACTCTGAGCGATTTAATTTCTAAGTAGTAAGTTGAGATTGGAACCGCTACAGTGAGACTGTGAATTATGAATGAAACAGTGAAACTTATGACGGAACACAATTGATCATAGAAAGAGATTTTCTCATCTCTATATTCAAATAACAATTTGTCATTCTAGTTAACTCCAGTTCACGATAATAAACCTAGCCCTACTTACTAACTTATACTTCTAATTTCACACTCCTATCCTATTTACATATACTTAGAGATGCCACAGGCATTCGGAGTTTGACAACAATAGCAGTGCACCAACCCAAACAAATCAGAAGTCAAAAATGAAATGGCTCGAAGATGTATTTGAACCTCTAATGATGTATCGCGAAGCGTTTGTTCTAAGCTCACTAGAAGTTGCAAGGAATGCGTTGCACGGAGATTCCACTCGTGATTTGGTGCGGTGTGTGACCTCGCACCTCCAGTTAAATGAGTCCAGTAAAGCTAATGAGGTCAACATCAATATTGAGTACTCGGAGAACTATTGGTTTTGGGGATTTATTTAACGCTACACAATAATATATAAACCTCCGTTGACCTTAGTCAGTAAATCAATTTTCTCGAGGTCTTTCTTAAAAGGCATCCATAAGTTATAGTATAACAAATGCCTCCAGGCCGCTATTAGGAGCTTTGACTACAGACAACTTATGGACTATTCAACTTCACTGGAAAAGATGGATAAAAGAGACTACAACATCCATTGAGATTTAAAAAATGCAATCTGAGGAATGGCAGACTCCAACGGCATGAGTCAGAGCTTTATTCACTTTTATAGATTTTGCTAATATTAGGAAGCTTAAGAACGCGATTTGGGAAATTATGGCAAATATCTTTTAAGATGCATTCAGGTTCTGCTTTCATTTCTAGTGCATGAATTATAAATATTTCTCTTCGGCCAATCATTGTCAAACCTGAATAATTTTTATCTGTTATGATTAGGCACGTTATATTTTTGTTTAAATGATTTCAGGTGTTTGAACTTTGGAGTAGTTGCTGCCCTTACCTTTGAAAAGTAGATAGATAATAAACATACAAACAACTTTAGAATTTCCGTTTGATGTTTGCAATGTTCAGTATCACAATGTATTGTGATCCTTCAGTCAACACATATGAGTGATCTTCATTTAACAGCTAGGTTAACTGGATTACCTAGAGAGGTGGAAAGTAGGTTGAGGGGACTGTTGTGTTTGAAAAGACTAAGAAGTCCCTAATCTGTGAACTGAATGAAGACTCTGTGATACAATGACTTATAAGCTAGGTATTCCGACGCGTCACAGCCCTGTTAACAGTATGAAGGCTCTGAGTTGGAAAGAGGGAAGTATATTTCACAAGCAACCAGAAGCACGAACGCCAACAATAAGCCCAACGCAAGGGTATATATACAGCATAAAAAGCATACTAAAAGAGACAATGAATCAATGGCATTTAAGAACTCCCAAGTGAGAAATACGACATAAAGTTGAAAACTGGTCCTTTTGGCGCAAAACCAAGAAATTCAAATTTGTAAAATAGAATTACAAAAATAAGTCATTTGTCAAGTGAGTTCTGGGAATCTAACAATACCAACACAGAGACTTCAGTATTTTCTTAAACGTAGCGGTCAGTATGTAGCTTGAAAATCATATATAATAAAAACTGTTAAAATTATTTCGGTTGAGTGAAAGCGAATGTTATGAGTAAGTCTTTTGTAAGTTATTAATTTAAGTCCGAAAACTCGAAAATAAATAGCGCTCCACACAGTTGAAAATAATGTAACGGTATTAAAAACCATTACATGTGACGTTACTAATGTGTTTGTTTTCTTGATTGCTGGGCAATGAAAAGTAAACGCACTAGAAGAGGAGGAACAGGCCTTGTGCGAGCTGAACCTGCAGAACAATGGATAAACCCATCTTGTAATAAGCTTCCCCCTTTGTACTCGAACCGCGTCTTTCAATTTTTAAATATATCTCTGTAGTGCCAGTACGCCGTTTTCCTTCTTCAGTCTCATTCACCGGTCCTGACTGTTGTGTTGTGTTTCAGATCGCTCCTGCTTGCAAGTAAACGGTGATAGTACGTGCTACAGTAATAATGAGATTGTTATCTCTAACTGTTCTTCGCACTGTAAACACAGTCGTTACGTAAACGCCGAAATATTTTGAGCTTGTTAAAATGCTCTTTTAATTTTGCTGGTCAAGTTAGGTCATGTTTTTCTGATACATGGGTTAATGCGTTAGAAGTGTAGATTGTGTGATAATTAAAATTATTTGAATCATTGTAAAAACTAGGAATCCCAGAAATAACGCTATTCAACCAAAAAGAACTATATGAGCACTTAAGATGGCACAGGTATTCAATGTGTGACAACGCTTTAACCAGTAACACCTTCTATATGAAGCGTACCCACCAAGAGAAATCCAAAGATAGAATCGAGGAGATCGGAAGATATATTTGTTGCAGTAGATGTTCAGCACAGCGTTCACACACGTGATCTGGTGCGGATGCATGACCGAGCACCTTCAGCTAGGTGAGTCTATTAAAACATATGGTCAGCATCCAATGTCGAAAACTTACAGAGCTATTTATTTTGGGGATTTATTTACCGCTACAGCACGAACGAACGTATTGTACTTGGGATTCGAAGACAAGCAGCCATCAAGTACAAAGGAATCATTAGGTCATACAAACACGACAGATTGTCTCAGGTTTTTTTCTGAACACGGAGAAATATTCTTGCTGTTCCTTACACCTGATACCAAGTGTTTGTTCGAGGTTAGAAAAATTGTCAGCAATAACAAGTGTGAATTGAACTAACATTCGATGAGCAGTCTAACAGAACCAAACATTTTCTTTTATATTAATTACTTTTTACCAGGATGTATGAGAACACTTAATTGTTGCAAGTTAAAAAGTTGATTAACTATGGGATTCCCTTATTAGAAGCTGAAGTTGAATATTGATTTACTGCAAAAATCAGAAATTCAAGCACTTGTGAATTATCTATGTTTTTATTTGTTTTTAGTTAGATGTATTGAATAATATTTTTCGTAAGTCAAATATATGACGCGAGAGTCTGAAACTTACGTTCACATCAGTTACTTCATTATATACTCGTCCAAAGTAGACAGAACAAACATTTTCAAAATATGTAAACGACTTTTTTGGACATCATTATTTCTTGGAGTGATGATAAGCCACGAACACACAGTGCTTCTCTGATTTATTTATTGGCATTAACATTCAAGTTTTTTCTGAGCGAGTTCATATCCGACAAGTAGTTGAACTGGCTTTCACCTAGCTGCTTTCCGCATCACCGGTTTAACTCCCGTTGTTGTTATGATTTAGAAATACAGCACAAACGGATGTAATAAACATTAGCTACACATTTTTGTTCACAGACATCATCTAACATGATTGACCAGTGATTTGACTGGTCGCTTTGAGAAATGATACGTTTGTGTAGCATCATTGTCTCACATGCTAATATCTTGTCGATGAATGATTCATCGCATTTTTCACCTATAATCAAGCCACTGCGATCAGTCTTCTAAAGACAAATGCGTCTAGTCAGCTTGATGAATAGTTCATCCAATGGTAAGTGATTATTTGACTCTACAATACCATATGCGAAACCCCTGTCGTCAACTCTACAAAATAAAAGACGTCAATCGAAACTTCAACACGAACATAATGTAGGCACAAAGCCTTGTTATCTTTGACTACAATACGTCTTTTAAATTCGGAAAACCCCTTATTTGGCACGTTACTCTCTATTTTGAGATGAAAGCTCCAAATATAATGGTCAGGCTGGAACAACACTGTTGCAAAACCCTACAAAAAATCGTCTGAATCAACGTTGACTAAGTTGGAAGACATATTTGGTTTACCTGCGAAGGTATCGCGAAGTGCGAATTCAAACCATCATGTTTGAGTAATGGACGCATTCTTTAGCAAGCTGGAGCAACCTGGTAGATACCTGACTGACCGTCTTCACCTAATAGTGTCCAGGAAAAGTAACATGACGGACTTCTCTGTCGAATGTTTTCTGTTATTTATTACAACAAGCTATTTCTTAGTAAAGAATATCGATCTCGGACTTTCGAGCTGAGATTTAAGTTCAGATTTGGGAAAGAGCTTGTTAACGTAAAATCATTTCAAATACTTATATGTTTTGCCTTCTAGGGGATATGCTTTAGGTATTACTCATTTTGAAGACAAAATAAGTAACTCCAGGACCATTCGTCTTTATAAATTAAGATTCTACCTATGGATCCTAATGTATTTATGTTCAGTTTATTCCCACCTCAATGAATGTAGCCATGACTTATAATACAACGGACAGCTTACAATTATTTCTTCTCTACACATATATAGAGCTAATCACGTGATATCAGGATCAGGATTTGCGGCCCAAAATGGAGAACCAGATTAACACCAAAGAATACTTTAGTGGATACAATTACAGGCACGCACTCACAATGAGTCCAGAGTAGAAATCAATGATAAAAATGGAAATTCACACATTTAATAGTGCATAAGCTGCGGCTTTTTGTGCACACTCAACGGCAAATCATACTTTACTTTCATTACAACACAACTAGTAAGAGTATAAGCAGTAATTGGAAAGATTAGGGTTTGGAGATGTTATTCAGTCAGTATAATCTAGCGAAATAAATTTTGAAAGAGAAAAAAAGAGACAGGGAGAAGTCAGAAGATTAGAATTTAGGAGAACAAAAAGAGTGGATGCACTTGCACCCATTGGAAACGATTTTGAGCCATGTCATCCAGGGTCTCTAACCATCGGTCGCCATCATCTCGCGGTCCCCAACCAGGTAGTCTACACATACCAACATGGCTCAGTCCACTTGTCAGTGACTTCATGGATTTGTACCATATTTTGGTCTGGCCACCCCTAGCTTTCTTCCAACCTACTTCTATACCATTGAACATCGCACATCGAGGCAGTCGGTCTTTGGGCATACGTAACATGTGTCCCAGCCATCTCAACTGATGAAGTTTCACCACTTCATCAATCGAATTGCCATCCTTACCTAGTACCCGTTTCCTAACAACTGTGTCACTTACTCGATGGTCCCATGACATACGAGCAATGATTCAAAGACACCTATGATCGAATACCAGTAACATACAAATATCCCCTTCTCTTAACGGCCATGTTTCACTGTCATAAAGTAGGACGGAACGAACTGCTGCGCAGTAAACACGTCCTTTGGTTGATAGACGGATCGAAGTGTGGCGGCTGAAGGCCAATTCAACCGATCCCTGAAGTGTTCTGCCCATCGATCCACTATCCTGGATTGAGAATGTATAATATGTCCATCTTCTTCTGAGATTGTTTCGCTAACAGTCGGATTCCTAATACCGGTTTCCTTAACAAGTCTGGACAATTGTCTGCTATTAGCTATTACCGCCGCCTTTTCCATCTCCCTTGCTTTCGCTACCCTCCACTGTTGAGATCATTGCGTAGGCTTCTTATCAGCTTGAGCATTAAAGTCACCAGCCTCTATCACTACATCGGAACGCCTAGCTTTTCGTAGAAGGTCGGAAAACTCTCCATAAAATTCATCTTTAATACTATCTGAGCTGCAGTCAGTGAGAGAATTGACAGAGACCACGAAGAGGCAACGACGAGTGTCCCTATCTTTCCGAGTCCTTACTATCCCGTTTAGTCGGAGAGCGCACAAACGACTGTCTACTGGGATCCAGTCTGAGAGAGCTAGTTCTGGCCTAGGACTCAATGCTATACCTACGCCGGCGAGGCCACAAGAAGCAGCATCTGGGCTTCCAGATACACGAAGTGTGAGTCGAGTTGGTTCTTTATTTTGACATGGTGAGGTCAAATGAATGACGCTACTCGGATCCTGTATCCGCGTTTTGGAAACGCAGCACACATCGATGGCGCGAGATTCTAGAGTCTTAGCTAAGGAAGCCTGTTGTCCTATTTGGCTCAGTGTTCGGACGTTAAAAGCTTCAACATGTAGTTTAGAGCGTGGTTTCAGGAGACCAGGAATAACGTTCCGCGTACTCGAATCGTTTGCACTGGCGGTGCGAGGTAATAAAGAGACGTGAGGAGGGTTAGTCATGGAGATAAGAGAGGTATTAGGAGGTGTAGGAAGGATTTGAATGTGACCAACTTGGTCTCTTGTGCTGTTACGGGTATGAGGGCTAATGTCACTTCCCGGCTGCCCACTCCATGGAAGGGTATTTCTTAAGGAACCTGAAAAGGATGTTGGATTAATATCGGTCTTACCGACCTGGGGGCGTGACCGCAGAGCCCAAGGGACAGCTGTTTGAGGCCGGTCGCGCACAGCCTTTCGATGGGAGGTTTTTAATGTGTTAGCTCCGTTCTTCAAAAGGCCTTACCGCCGGAGACGGAAACCCGTGAGGTAAGGTGAGGTGTGACATTTTTACGGTCGACCTTTTGTGACCCCTTTCTTCCTTGTGAGAAGGCAGCATCGCTGCAGATGCTGGTTGCCCGAGGGAAACACTATTGCTGTCACACCCCTCTACAGTCAGCAGTACGACTTCGCCCTCAGACCTTGAGTTGCTGCTTTTAGTCTTACCGTTCTCCAATCGACCTGCCTGGTATGGTAGAACCTCCAGGAACATATGTTCCAGCCAATATAGTTCGGTTAGGTCATCAAGATAGGTAAGCCCGACCACCACGTCAAGGTAGTAGCTGCGGTCAGGCGTGCATTGATTACAGTGTAAAAGTTAAAGTTTAATTATGAATCATAAGTTTATTGGCACAACTATAAAACAAAAAAATAAAAGGAAGGAAAACCATTGAAAAATTTCCTTTTGTTCGAGAGATGACGAGAATTCAGTGGATTCAAACCGGTGAATACATACCCAACTTTGTATTGAAGTAAAGTCTAGACAAGCGATGTTCTGTCATAATAGCTCTATGAAAAGCATAAATGAAGAGGATAAATAAGAGTCAGTTTAACACTGGTTATAAAATGATAATTAATTTAGCATAAAAAATTAATAATAGTAAATTAGCAAAGCATTTCTCGGCTTGTTTTGCTTCTTAACAAATCAGGGTGATAAAAAATGTCTACAGGATGAAATAAATGTAAAGGAGGAAACGAAGATTGAATCTGACTGTAACGATGAAACTGATCTGGAATGGTGTGGTTCACGTAACTGGATATTGTTTGGTATCATCTAATACAGATCACAAGTCAAAAGACAATTAGAGGAGTGTAATATTTGTTGTAACTGACTGGAACGGTTTATATTTTTTAAGTAAACCTCTAATAAGAATTCGTACTAAATTTATTAATAGATTATTTGACTTTTAGGCTGGTATTAATAACACAACAATTTGTAAAGACGAAATACCAAACAGCTATTCTGTCTAGCTATATGCACTCATGAAACCCTTTTGTAACTGAAGTAAGCAGCATTTTTAACGTCATTTTACTCTGAATCACAATGTTGAACCAGATTTTCTCCTGATAAACATCAATAATAGACTTCGACAAAAAATGTTATGTGATTATTGTATGATTTCTATACACTTGCATATCAGAATTTTTAATAAAAGTCATTCAATCTATTGATTTCGTAAATGTATGTGTAAAACGTTAGATAAAAATTCCGAACTGGCGAAGACAGGAAGTAGATGAAGCAGATAGTAAACGCATGTTAGCATTAACTGAGTCGTTTTTATAGAAGTGACATATATGGTTTCAAGTTCAACAACCTTAGTTTATAAATTATTCCAATAAAAGGCTACAAAATCATCTCATCTACATACCGTATACAGCTACGATTGTTGTCAACCACTTCACATTATCTATGCTGAATATGTTGTCTCTAATTTTAAATAAAAAAATTAAACGACAGTAATGCAGTTATGCGTACCGATTTTCTCTCCATGATATAAAGTCATTAATAAAAAATAGCAAAATGCACCAGATAAAACCAAATGCCGATATGAATGGAGATAAAATGTGCCAACTTGTTAATCTTAAAGAAGAATTAACGACGCACAAGCGAATGATCATATAAACCGAATGAAGAATGCATCTGAAGGAAAAAAACAACAAGAAAAACACACTTGTATTAAAACATAAAGCCTTTTAACTAAGTTCGACAAATAAAATGAAGAACGAATAAAACATGTATGCAATCCAAACACATGTTAAAGATGAGTAGTTTTTTTTATCATATTCTAGAATTTCCGTAATATAATTAATGTGAAAATAGTGCGACATAAGAAGTATTTGTGATGCTACTTTGTTGAAGGCTTTCGAAAGAAGTCTGTAAACCATATAGATCGAATCGACTAAACAGCACAGTTGTAACGAGAAATAGATCCAGTGCTTGCAGCCGATCACGTCCAGTCGCTAAACATAAAAACCTAGTGCGGACGATGAGGTGTCACTTAAACTACTAGTGACATTGTAGCTTATCGATAGAAGCAAGGGTTAGAAATGAGCATGAGAATGTTTATTACTCAGCGACCATCCAGGACGAAAGAAGAGATGTGTTTATTTCTATTGTTTTTATGGTGTGAAAGGATTTTTTACAAATAGATAAAAAAGACAGAGATTTGGCTAAATAACAATGTTAACATACTATAAAATAAGTAAGGCTCTTAATATAAGCAGGAAACTTAATAAATAAGCTTTATTATATTTAAAAATTGCTAGAATTTTTATGAACTAGTTATTTTTATTACCAGAATCTGAGCCAATTAGAAAAAAAATAGTTTTATGCTTACATAATTTCATTATGCTTATACAGACAAGATAAGAAGTTAAAGTACAGTAGAGGTTTCACATAAGACTATAAAGGAACTGGTAAAGGAACTGTTTACATTTATGATATTTAACTACTGAGAATTAACTTTCGATTAAGTTTTAAGGCTTCATTGTTTGACCTCATTATCTTCAAGTTACCTGATTGTCATCTTTTGGATCGAAAAACACAAACGACGTTTGTTTGTTGTGTATAGTTATAATACAAAGGAAATGTACTATAACTAACGGCCGAGAAGTGCGATATATAAATAGTTTGAGTTCTCCATCATGATAAATCTACAATCAGTGTGTATGATGACCAAAGAATTAACTGGTTACCACTATATCTGTGTTCAAATGAACAGACAAAATAATAGCTAATATATGAACGAATATCATTGTCCGCTGGGTTAAAGAATTTCCACAACTTTAGAAGCATAAACATAGTTACGATTCAACATTTTTGGGTTCAGGGTAACAGAATGGGAAAACTGGGTAAAAAAGAAAGATATTGGATCAAAAGTCTTTTTCCTGGAAGTCCTCCCAGTACTCAAAAACGTTGAAAAAAATGCAAAAAATGATCAGAAAGAGTCATTTAATAATAAGTAACCCACATTAGACTAGAGACAATGCACCAAGAAGGATTTGTAGAATACCGGAATTTCCATACTCTTTGACCATAATTTGCATAAGAAAATGATATAACAACTGGAAACAAATAAAAAAGCGAATTAAGCAAATGGCTTTTTACAATGACTAGATGTAATTAATAAGCAAAGAATAGTGAGAGGAATGAATTGAGGACTACCTCATTGATTCAGAACGTAATATACATTTTCTATATTACTAAAATCAACCAACCATGTGTAATTTAGGTGGTTAGAAATAAACTATATATGACATTTACATTAAGGTGCGTTAATATTACATAACCTGGTAGCTCAGTGATAGACAAAGTGGTCTTTTTATCTCCAAACTGCATAGATGTATCTTACAAATACTGTAAGCACCATGTCTAACTACAGTGTTGAACAATGAGTGAAGCAGCATGGATCGGCTCAAGTCGTTATCATTATTATATTATTAGTACATTAAGGTAATGAGTATCAACTATTGATAGGTGAGTTAAGGAATGCCCTTTACTCGTTTTAAATTAATGAACAACATAGACTAGTGCTTATGTGAAATATAAGACTTGGGTCACGTTTCCTACAAATGTGCAATATATATTTTACTAAACACTAACAACTATGCTACATGTTTCGATAAACGGATTTCAATCAGTAACACACTAACTGACTCGTGAATTCAAAATATAAATAACCTTTTAACTGAGTTTGCACGCATACAAATTATTATGATGGCTAAAATGACCAAAAGACGACTACTAGGATTGTTCAAGTGACCAAGCAGATGTTTTTCTGACAGACACAACCATTAAATTCCATTTAAATAGACATCACAAAACAGAAACGACTAATCAACGGGTTGAATTTGTTAGAGAATGTAACTTAAACACAGCATATTCACCAGAGATAATATGACTATGACTTAGCAAAAGATAACCACTAATTAAAAATGATCATAAAGTAATCAATGAGACTATACTTTTACCCATAGTATCACACATACGCATTTTTGAAGATCAGTAGTGAATTAAAGAAAAAATCGAACTTAAAACCAGAGTATATAGGTTAAACATCTTTCATAATAGCTGTCTATGACAATATTGTCTACAAAATATTCATGTGCTACATTGCAGCTATTTACGATGACATAATGAGTAACAATGGTAATAATAATAACAATACGATGCATACACATGTTATTAGAAAAAATATCATAAAATTAAAAAACAACTAAATCCACTTCACATACTTAGGTACATGATTAGCTGATAGAAGATTAAATCCTTTAAACTGTATATTAATATAGACAATTTAGATAGACATGATTCTTGAAGGGCATAAGATGATCTGAGAAAAGGATAAAAAATATATATATATATATATAACTAGTCAGTGATGTTCTTTTCTTAATGAACTGACCTAGTATTACATGAAATTATTATTGTTCAGGATTTTACAGTTTAAATTTATTTGATAATCATATCAACATTAAATTTTTCGTTAAACATCTTCAAGGGAAAAATTACTACTTTTTAAGAAGAAAGCAGGCAATTGGGGTTGTCAGAGAGAGAGACAGACAGACAGAGAGAGAAAAAAAAAGAGAGAACAGGTTGATATTAGTTAGAGTACTGAATTCAATGAACATGGCCATACAGCACAAAAAAGATAGGCTTCTGCAAACAACTTAAAATAGTAATTACTTTTTTGTTTTTAATTGCTGAAGTTATACTATATTGACAAGCATATAGGGTTTCACAGAGAAACTTTTCAGCAATTGTATCAACTTTAGAAAGTAGTACCAATTATCAGTTGTTCAATATAAATCTTGAACAGGCTACCTTTATTGAAAAGTTAAAAAGTATTTTAATTGATCAAGAATCTATTGTGCCGCCATAAAGTAGAAACAATACTCTGTGAATGTGAGGACAAGTCGTATGCTTAGTTCGTCCGATAAAATTATGTTGGTTTCACAATTAAGCGAAAACTGGTTCCTTTTTGATTACTCGGGGTTAACTCTCATGAGAACCAAGTTATTAGTGATCCACTGAATAGGAGACAACTCAGTGATAAAAAATGTGTGGACATATTTAGATATGATTATCAGGTTATTGGGCAACGATATTTTGTTAACTCACCGATTTGTACAAATGCAGATAAGACGAATGCTATGTTAATTTTTTTTAATAAACTATTTATGACATTATAAAAGACCTAGAAAAAGGTTTATCTGTTCTCATAAGTTCCTCTTCGTGGAACATACATTTAGGATTGAAACATCGATTATAAACATTTTGCAAATCATGCTAAAATATTATCGACATCTAGAGCTGATTGAATGTTAGAAGTTAATTTTTGATTCAAATAATATTTATGTTAAATTAATAAAGTGAGACCAAAAAAAATTAAAGTCATCCTACGATTATCACAGTTTCGATAACAGTTTAATTCTAGTGATTTGTTTTTATGGGACTGTACGTGTAGTTGAGAAAGTGTCTTGTATGAGGAAAGAATTAAATACATGAAACTGTTTGGTAACTACATATTGAATAGCTTTAGAATGTTTGGTTACAAGTTTAGAATCGTTCATTTTCTGACCAGCTCTAATGGATGATCAGTTTAACTGAAATAAACAAGCATGAAATGGTGTAACATATTTAAAAAATAATGATAATAGATCGAACAATATAAAATACATAATTTCAACTTACGATAGTGTTTTAGCATATGCCTCGGAATCGTTAATTAGGGGATTTGTTCCATTAAACTTATTTGTATAAATACTGTGAAATGATTGGTGACAATCTTCAAGCTGTTGAGCCCATAAAAGATGACCGATTTCGCAAAATAGACAAATTAACAGTGACGGTATGAAACGAGAACAAGTCACTAAAGTAAAGCGTAAGCATCTCTAAATTTACAAAACACGCAAACAGATGAGAAAAATTCATGTATCAATAAAAGAAACAGATTAAGAGAAATAATCGGAAAAATACACGAGAATTAATAACTGAACAGGTTAGTACTGGGATGTTTGCCAAATCAAATCTACTTGATGATATAAACTATGTGGTACCTTATGGATAGAATGACAATTGATGTCTAGTTTAAATTAATGATATGTCTTTGCATATGGTGTCTCTGTCAGTTACTAACCAAATAAATAAAAACATTCTGTTGTGTTAGCCTGAATAGATATAAATTTCCATATACTGACTTATTTAAAAGAACTTTTAGTCAGAATGCAGCATATAAGACTTAATATAGCCTTAATATTTCTAAAGTAAAGAAAATTTGCGAACGTTTTGAATTGATAAATAAGAACTTTCGTCTAAATTTGAACGAATAGTTTCACAATATTTGGGCTCCGAGTTAATTTGAGATTTTACAAATGTATTCTTCTTTTTAATGTTTCGAATTAATGCCTGAAAAATGTCAAAAATACAATATACAGAATTGTGTAGGCAGTTCGAATAGACTTGAGACTTCTTTTTATCGACGTGATTACTAGCTACCAACAAAGATGCAAGAGTATTGTGAATAGAGGCAAATGAAAATGTAGACGTAATGAGTGAGTGAAATGTGAAGATAGTTAATAGTAAAATTATGAAGATCTAAGCGTTGCAATCATATGTACTAAATAATATGATATATCTGAAGCTTATTTCAAAGACAAAATTAATTGAAAATAACTCTCTCTCCCGACCGTTGTTGCTACATTGACGTGGTGGTCGGGCTTGCCTATCGTGATGAAGCAACCGAGCTATACTGGCTGGAACAACCGTTCCTCAAGGTCCTACCATGTCAGACAGGTCGGTTGAAGAGCGGTAAGACTAAAAGCAGCAAACCCAAGGTCCGAAGTCGTACTGCTGACTGTACAGAGGTGTGACAGTAGTAAGGTGTTTCCTTCAGACAAACAGCATGACAGCGATGCTGCCTTCCCACAAGGAGGAGTGGGGTTAGAAAAGGTCGACCCTAAAAATGCACACCTCGCCTTATCCCACGGATATCCGTCTCCGGCGGTAAGGTTTCAACAAGTACGGAGCTAACACGAAAATTACCTATACAAAGGTCGTGTGTGACCGACCTGAAGCAGTTGTCCCTTGGGCACTGCGGTCACGCTCCCAGGTCCTTAACACCACCTCTAATCCAATTTCGTTTTCAGGTACCTCCAGAAGAACCCTTCCACGGTGTGGGCAACCGGGAAGTGATAACCGCCCTCATACCTCTAACAGTACTCAAGATAACTGTATTCATAATCAAACTCCCTCTTCAATTCTTATCATTACTCCTACATCGACTTCAAACTCTAAACTTCTTTTTCCGGCTTCCCCTTCAAGTGTCACCATAGCCAACGATTCTAGTGCTCAAAACACTGTCCTAGGTCTACTGAAACCTCGCTCCACACTACACATTGGAGCCTTCAATCTATGCACCCTATGTTAAATCAGTCAGCAGGCTTCCTTGGCTAAAACCCTAGAATCTCGTACCATTGATGTATGCTGTATCTCCGAAACACGCGTACAGGATCCCAGTGTGGTTATTCACTTGACCTCACCTCGGCAACACGGAGAGCCAACGAGATACACCTTCCATTTATCTGGCTACCCGATGGCTAGTTCTCGTGGACTGGCAGGTGTAGGCATATCACTAAGCATGAGGGCGGAACAAGCAATGTTAGAGTGGATCCCCGCTAACAGTCGTTTATGTGCTGTTCGGCTAAACGGCTCCGTGAGAGCTCGGAAAGATAGGGACACACGTCGTTGCCTTTTTGTCGTTTCTGCCTACACTCCCACCGACTGCAGCTCAGATGAAGTGAAAGATGAATTTTACAGAAAGCTCTCTGAACTACTTCAGAAAGCTAAACGTCCAGACATATTACTCGTAGTAGGTTACTGTAATACCCAGATAGGTAGTTTAAACCAAACAGAAAGGCATTTAGGTGGGTATTTTAGTATTCCTGCACAACGAACAGATAATGGTGATCGTCTGCTGCAAATATGCTCAAACAGTCGTTTATTTTTAGCAAACACTAATTTTAAGCATAAGGAGAGACATCGTCTAACATGGTGACCGCCTGCACCAAACCAACGATGGACTCAAATAGACCATATTGCCATCAGTCACCTTTGATCTAACCACTGCTATGAATCCGGTGTTCATCTTGTTGTGCTGATGCGGTATGGCAACCTGAACCGATGCACATATGTGCCTGGTCCTACGTTGTAGCTGACTGACTTACTGACTGACTGGAGAGGGTCGGTAGAAGATTGTCGCTCATTCTGGAGTATCTGCTTGGACTCCGACCACGCGCTAATACGGGCACGCATCTTCTTGCGCCTCACTGGACACAAAAAAGCCACAGTAAAAAGACCCATTAGAACTGAATTGAGTAGCGAGAAAACCAAAAGTAGGTTCCAGGAACAACTGAGGTCACACTTAGGTAGAAAGAAATATATGAAGCGATTTTAATCTCTTAGTTTAAGGGAACATAGAGAGTGTATACACCTACGCCACTGTGATCGATTCTGAGCCATGTCACCAAGAGTCTCCAACCATTGGTTACGATAGTCACGCGGACCCCAACCAAGTAGTCTGCATCTACCAACATGGCTCAGATTAGAAGTTAGTGACTTCAAGCACTGATGCCACGTTTTGGTTTGGCCGCCCCTAACATTCTTCCAACCATCTCCAATACCGGTTAGCGTTGCACGACATGGTAATCGGTGTTCAGGCATACGTAACACGTGGCCCAACCATCTCAGTCGATGAAGATTCACAACCTCATCAACTGATTTACCATCGTTCCCTAATACCCTGCATCTAACCTCACTATTACTTACTCGGTGATCCCAGCAGACGTCAGCAATATTTCTAAGGCATCTGTGGTCAAATACTAGTAGCTTACGAGTGCCTTCTACTCTCAATGGCCATGTTTCGCTGCCGTAAATTAAAACAGAACGGACTGCCGCGCAGTATACTCGTCTTTTTATTGATAGACGGATATCTCGCCTTCGCCATAGGTGACGTAAGTTGGCAAAAGCCAAACGAGCTTTTCAAATCCGTGCTGAGATTTCGTCAGACACCAACCCATTAGGGCTGATTAAACTTCCAAGACAAGTGAAGTTGTCAACGCGTTCGACTACTTCACTCCCTATCCTTAGTTCAGGTGTTGACGCAGGCCAGTCCTGAAGCAACAACTTTCATTTAGAGGGAGAGAAGCGCATTCCAAACATTCTGGCATTGTTGCTCAGTGCTACCAAAGCACTCTGCATTCTATCGGCGTCTTCACCAAACAGGACTATGTCATCTTAGCTAAAATATTAGTCAACCTAATCATTAAACTTGGACCACCATCCTTGAAGACCTCTGGAGCCAATCCATATGGACCAGCTGCTCTTCCTCGTTTCAGACTAACTATAGCCTTTTGAACTTCAGCAAGAGTTGGGGGACCTACATCAATGTTCCATTCACACTGTCTGGGAATGTAGGGTAGTTGTAGAGTAGCAGAAGGCCAGCTGAACTGTTCTCTGAAATGTTCCGCCTTGTTGGTGGTCCACGTTTAACGATTAGGTTGACTAATGGTGGTCTTTCTCGACTTAAAAGCAGCATTTGACTCTGTAGACCGCGAGATTCTGTGGCAGTGTCTGTCGTTGAAAGGCGTACCTCAGAAGTACATAAACCTTGTGAAGGCTCTTTACTCGAACACTACTAGTCGAGTCAGAGCTTATGGCGAACTGTCATCTACTTTTGCAACCTCAAGTGGTGTCCGTCAAGGCTGTCCACTTTCCCCATGTTTGTTTAACTTCATCATAGATCTACTGATGGAAATAACATTCTCGTCGACTGAGTTCTCGGGTATTGATCTCCATCCAGGAGGTCCACTTATCGACTTAGAATACGCAGATGACATAGTCCTGTTTGGTGAAGACGCCGATAGAATGCAGAGTGCTTTGGTAGCACTGAGCAACAATGCCAGAATGTTTGGAATGCGCTTCTCTCCCTCTAAATGGAAGTTGTTGCTTCAGGACTGGCCTGCGTCAACACCTGAACTAAGGATAGGGAGTGAAGTAGTCGAACGCGTTGACAACTTCACTTGTCTTGGAAGTTTAATCAGCCCTAATGGGTTGGTGTCTGACGAAATCTCAGCACGGATTTGAAAAGCTCGTTTGGCTTTTGCCAACTTACGTCACCTATGGCGAAGGCGAGATATCCGTCTATCAATAAAAAGACGAGTATACTGCGCGGCAGTCCGTTCTGTTTTAATTTACGGCAGCGAAACATGGCCATTGAGAGTAGAAGGCACTCGTAAGCTACTAGTATTTGACCACAGATGCCTTAGAAATATTGCTGACGTCTGCTGGGATCACCGAGTAAGTAATAGTGAGGTTAGATGCAGGGTATTAGGGAACGATGGTAAATCAGTTGATGAGGTTGTGAATCTTCATCGACTGAGATGGTTGGGCCACGTGTTACGTATGCCTGAACACCGATTACCATGTCGTGCAACGCTAACCGGTATTGGAGATGGTTGGAAGAATGTTAGGGGCGGCCAAACCAAAACGTGGCATCAGTGCTTGAAGTCACTAACTTCTAATCTGAGCCATGTTGGTAGATGCAGACTACTTGGTTGGGGTCCGCGTGACTATCGTAACCAATGGTTGGAGACTCTTGGTGACATGGCTCAGAATCGATCACAGTGGCGTAGGTGTATACACTCTCTATGTTCCCTTAAACTAAGAGATTAAAATCGCTTCATATATTTCTTTCTACGAACTAATTCTTTCTTCCTGTACTATATCCTTATTGCAATCTTTCCCTTATATATTACCACCTTTGACATTAACGACTGCTATGAATCCGGTGTTTATCTTGTTGTGCTGATGCGGTATGGCAACCTGGACCGATGCACATATGTGCCTGGTCCTACGTTGTAGCTGACCTACTCTATGATGTTCGTTTTATTGTAAAAATCCTACAGCGAAATCCAGTCAATCAATTCAGAAAAGTAAAACAATCATCAAAATCAAATTAACTCATACACTAGGGACTTGGGGATGAGCCACACTCTAAGTGTCATAGTTGATGGTACCAGGCGGTTGTCCAAACAGCAGTAGAAGACGAATAGTAACCAATGTTAAGAGATAAATTTATTCAGGAATGATCATAGTGGCCGTAAAGTAAATCTTTTAGGCACTAATGATAGTAATTTCATTACATTTATTCTTCCGTGAGTCAAGACTTCGACTAACAGAAGAAAGTATACGCTCAGCTACACACAGAACATCCACACAAGTAAATAATCAGCAATTGTGTTCCAAATAAAAATCGAACACATTATTAGATTTAGATTATTAAGGGAAAGTCATTCAGACATATAATCGCACAAACTCACCTTCTTAGTAAATAGTTTATTACGCTTAATCGGTGGCTCACGTAACGGTTGGTTTCTTTCCACTCGCCTATCAATTAAAGATAATGTTAAAGATGGCATGACAATGAAAAGTAGCCAAAATAATTGACCAGTGCTAAGACTTGGTTCTAAATTCCAATCCGAACTATAGTGTAACAAATTAATGTTAGTGTGCTTATCAGTTTTGCTTAAATTACCAAAAATTTCACTTGAACCAAAAATAACTGATCGAAATGGTTCCACAGGCAGCCAAATTAATTCGCCTTGTTGAAGATTTGATCGCACATCTAGCAAAACAACAGGTCGTGTAGGCAACCCGATTATTAATAGTAGTAATTGTAGTAAACCAACTGCTAACGGAGTTGTTGAACTGAACACCAAACAATGATAGAGGTTATTAACACTGGCGTGAGCCTGATTAATATAAATGGGAAAATAAAATGCTCAAAAGTATTCTGAATAATCACTAAAGTATACCATAATGTACAAGTCAGCAAAATTTCACTAAACGGTTAATATTTTAAGTCACTAGATAGTTTTTAACATTATACCATCCAGTCAACTGTGTAAGTCAAAATCTATGGATTAAGTTGAAGAATGTATTCTCTCCAAACAGGATTATTCTAAAGCAATATTAATTGCTCAAACGTCTGGATCACCTATTTCCAAGTTGTACATGCATCAGAATTCACCGTCCCGTTTCAGATCTATGTGGACTGGAAAGCTATAAATATGATGTATATTTACGTGCAATTATAAAAGGTTTACAAATTATCAAGATGGTGAATACTGGAAAACTTAAACAGAAAAACTGAAGTTGTTGGGACGTTTCCCTCTTTGCAGACGAATATATTGAAATTCATGCAATTTATTTACAATGGACAAAAAAGAGATGTTATAACCGATGGTACGAAATTTTGTTAGTTGGGGATGGGTAGTAGATACTGAGTGTTAAAGACACACATAAAAAACGTCCTGAAATATATATGGCTTGAATGTATACTAAACAGAAGTTTGTTGTAATATTGTATAATTGGTGCTGAGAACACCTTACTGTAACAACTTTTACATTCCAATGAAATTTATGCGACTTGTAAAGGATTCATAAATGTTAGACAACAGGAGAGTAACTATATTAAAGAACAAGAGATCTCTATCATAACCCAGTGGATTAGGTGATAATGCTATCAAGATTTAAGCAATAAGTCTTGGATTTAGGTCTCAATGAAAAAATTACCATGGTGACCCAAGCACATAAAGCTCAGTGTGAAATACAACAAAAAGCATGTTTCGGATTTTACGCAAATAAAAAAGTGATACGAGAACCACTGTAGTACGTATAATTTTACTCTACTTACCTCAACAATAAGATCGTAAACATGAAATCCTGTTTTCTCTATATCCAAAAGACAAGGTGTAACTAAGTGTACAAGATGTGCAGCAATGTCGAATGTATTAAAATTTGTAGTATCACTTTCCTGATGTGTAGAAGTCGGGTTTTTTTTCGAACAACTAAACTCTTCTGACTGGAGATCACTTGTTAACCGATCAACAGACTTGAAAGTTATACAACGAAAAGAAAGAATTCAAACGAAATTAATTAAAACAATAATGCATATAACAGAGTCCAGTACATTGAAAATGATTTTTAAAAATCGTAAATGATAAACTTTCTTATCATAGGAATAATAAAAGAATGATTAACTTACCGTTTTAAAGCTTCGCGAAGATAATCGCTGAGTTGAACACACACATACGGTTCTTACATACTTATCAAAATTGCCGTTTATTTGATTAGGTATAAGCATTTATTGAGAAGAACAAAGCCTTCTATGAAAGTAAGCTTAAAAAGCTGTACTTTAATAGAATAAGAATTCTGTGGCATTACACAAATTCATTTTTACTGCTGTTATATGCTGCTAGGTCCATTATTAATTCGTCCTCGTTATACAAGCTAGCGGCTATTTAGACTCAGTAGCTCAGTGGGTAACGCGTTTGGTATTCCAAATGAAAGATACTGGGTTCGAGGACCACAGTGAACATTAAAACTGGAATGCAAGTACATTCAGCTAGAAGGACATGTGTCCTGGATTACACTGTAAGCCACTACTAAAACTTAATTATATCAGATTTGTTCAGTCCATAATGTTGATCGAATTACATCGATCAAGTCACGCGGATAGCTGTAGTCGCACCACTGACTGTGGCACTGGGTGACGCTGATTTAAACACCACAGGGAGCACCAGTTCTCTTACATTTGCTGATATACCGTAACAAAAATCAAAATCTAAGGCTTCATACTAGTAGTTTTTAATGTCCTAACAATACTCTTTTATGTATAAGCATCAAGACAAATGTGTAGCAGCCAAAAAAGTTAACCGATAACCTCCTATTAGATTGCTTGGCGAAGAAAATAATTACAAAGGACAGGTAAACAAATCACTTGCGATAATTTGTAGTGAGACGATACGTGCAACCAAGACAGTGGATGATATACTATGAAAGTGTGTAACAGCTTTAGAAAACTTCTGAGTACTGAATAGGTGTTATTTGTTACTGATTGTGAGTGTATTGATGTCAAGTACTAAACATAATGCACAAACTCTCCATAAGACTGCACTATGTTCTATAATTTCTGAACTAGTGTTTTAAATTACACAGAAGAAAAAAATGTCAACGGAAGTTGATTTTGGAAGGAGGTTAATGCAGCAGTCGAATCTGGGTGAGTTAGCTGACAACATTCTATTACAATTAAGGAAATCATAAACAGAAATGAGATTTTTTTTATTTTTTATTTTATGTAAGCAACACATTCCCTATTACCCTCTATTGAATGATAAAATGTTCATGTATTCAAATAGTTGAGCCCTGCACTCCATTTGTTTCCCATGTTGTGGCGCTATGGCCTCAATCATAAAGCTTTTTGATTCCACTATCTTACGAGGAGTAAATATAAGCCTAAAATATACACAAGAAGTAAAGAGAAATTTTGGTGTGTTTGTTCATGTTTTGCATTACTTTAGATTCGTGATTTTCGAAGTAATTTTTTTTAGTTTTTTACAGTCCTCTGTGTTTTACTCGAGGACCAAGAGTGTAAAACTTCTGGCGAAGCGACTGAGAAGTCAGTGTTAAAGTGATCGAGTAAGGGTTTATCACTGAGTTGCTGCTACCTTGACACAGTGGTCGGGCTAGTCTATCGTGATGAACCAGTCGAGCTATACTGGTTTGGACAATCGTTCCTCAAGGTCCTACCATACCATACAGGTTGGTTGAAGAACGGTAAGACTAAAACCAGCAAACCCAAGGCCCAAAGGCGAAGTCGTACTGCTGACTATACAACAGTGTGACAGTAGTAAGGTGTTTCTTCAGACAACCAGCATAACAGCGATACTACCTTCTCATACGGAGGGTGTGGGGTTGGAAGAGGTCGAGCCTAAAATGCACATATCGCCTTATTCCACCTATTTCCGTCTCCGGTGGTAAGGTTCCAATAAGTACGGAGCTAACACGAAAATTAATCACTTAGTTCGACGCATATATATGCCTGGTCCTACGCTGTAGGTGACTGACTGATTGCACTAATATATTTCCAGTAATAATAGTTTTTAAAAGTGTTCGCATGGATGAGGTATATGAAATGAAGTTTATATTTAATAATAAGGGTGGGATTATTATAGGAAATATGAACTCACTTGATTCGAGACAATGTACTTGGTATTTGCAAATTGACAATTCGAGTAGGGTAGAATAGGTTTCACAGCAATAGCTACATCACTTTGTTGAAACAATACATAGTTGGTTAATGAATAACAGCTTCCAATTAAGCAAACAGTATCCCCATATTCTTTCATTATTTGAATCATTTCGCTAACAGCTTTTCAATAAGTAAATAAACAAAGAGAATGATATTGAGATGTTAAGTGAGATGAATGATTCATAAACAGTTCAACAGTTTTAGTAATGTTTGATGAGTCACTGTTGTTGATTTAATTAATCGAATACAGGTATAAGCGTTAACAAAGCAGAGATAGGATACTCTGATACTTGAATGTTAAAGCTGGTAAAGTGCAAACGACGTTTCCATCATACATCTTGATTCTGAATGTTAGAAAATAAACTCAAGTTTGTGTGCCAGACATCATTTTAGTGACAGGGATGAGTCCTCTGCTGTTTAATTAGTGGTCTGAAAGGAAAGGCTTTTATTGATCGTGAATTTTGGCAAGCAATTGAAAGCTTTCAAACATGAATTTATTTTTCATTCCAAGTTAAAATCCCTAATACAAATGAATTATAAGTGTTCTTTGTAAACTAGTGACAGAATTTTGTAAATAGATAGAAAAAACAACGAAATTTATAGAGGTAGCTAAGGTAAATATCACTAAAAAAATTTTCACACTCCATCTTACAGTTTTTCAAGATGACAAAGGAAAGTTACAATTGCCTGAGATTTTGAGCTATATCTGTTAGCATCTCAAATAAAATAAAATACAAATAACTGTAGTTTAGTTGGATGGGCAGTATTACTGATTTTTACATTATGAACTCATGACTAAGTTTTACTTACTGTTCTTACTTGGTGCTGCAGAAATAAAAAGATACAAGTGGGTGAATGGTTTTGAAACAGATAATAGAATAGTGTACTAAGAACCTATAATTCAGGTAATTAACTATGTCACTAGTCTACTAGGTCGTAATACATTCCACATACCAAGATCAGAGAATCAGGTACTATCACTCAGTCACACATAATTAATAATAATAATAATAATAATAATAATAATATCAACAGAATACTGATTTATAGTATTTAAAGTGCTCAGATGAAATGTATCGATTCATTTAGTCATTCCTGGCATCCCGTAAGGTTTATTCGGAATCCGCCCAAAAATTCAAACGTTAACATGTTCTAAATCGAACTAAGAAAGTCAGCAAATAGTTCTTTAAAATTTCAAACACTTTAAGGTCGCGAGAAAATAGTGAAATACAGTAAACTGTGTTCACAACTCTTTAATGGTGAGGGTGATAGAGGTAAATTAGACTGGCTTTTACTCCAGTGACTAGATAATCATATTGAATTCCAACGGAAAAGCATTCAATTATTTAAGGTTTTCGGCTTTCAATATATATAAAATAATGACTGTTATAACTGAAATAGTTAAAAACCACTTAGAAAATTCCTAACATAATACATGTTGGAAAACGTCTAAACAAGTATACCGTAAGACATTCGGCAAAGATATATGTATCAAAATATGGGAAAATGTGTCATTGATGTTTACTGTAAAAAATCATTTTAACTGTGTTCGAAAACGAAACGATCGGGGACTGTATAGATAAGCAAGTCATAGCGTTATACCGTACAACATGTTATTTAAATAATTATGTAATATACAACAATTAACCTTTAGGTGTACAATCAGTAAACAATGATACTTGTAATGGAACGTTATCGACATTTTCTAAATGTGGGCGTATGCTATCGATTCCACATGGAAGTCGGGACTGTAAAAGAAAGAGATAATGAAAACGTTAACTTAATACCAAATAAAGAAGTAGTTGAAACATCACAGAGAAAGAACTATTACTTGTTAAAATACAACGAACTGATCAAAAAGACAAATGGAATATATTATTACGAACGATATCTTTATGACATATTGTTCTTTGTACATAAAACAACAACCGAATAAAAAATCATTTAAAAACTGATGCAACTACTTGATAACCCTGTTGATATTTATCTCTCAAGATATGAGCAACACGTACTATAAAAAAAGTGCGATTAGGTAAACCAAATGGATAAAATTCAAGTGCTTAATTTCTTGGTCTGCAGAGTCACAATAAGTCAGCTTAAAGTGAAGTCGGATGTAAAATGAGAGGGAGTAATTATATTCTCAGAAATATAAGTGATCAGTGTAACGACAAATTATTCAGACAAGTAGTCATTTTCTCAGACCTTATAACTTGCGGTAAGTGCTTAAGGTTCTGAAATAATACATCATCGTCAATATATACCAAGATAAAATACCTGTCTAATGCTCTCTGGATCTAAATAACTCGTAACAAAAAAGCAACAAAATCTGTATATGCGTTGAAAGTATATGTGATTCAACCATTATTTATACTGAAAAATAAAACCCAGTATGTAATGATAACACAATCAAGATGCGAAAGGCTTTTAATGAATCATTATTTCAAGGCTGTTGAATGATAATTATCAGTATAGGGTTGTGGAGATTGTTTTATTAAGATCATTAACTGATCAACCTTAGACCACCACTGAAAACCTGGAAGCACTGGAAGGCCATTTCGTCCCAGTATGAGACTACTCAGCAGTACGAATCCACGATCCCACATGCGGACGCTTGACATCTAAATCACTGAGCCAGTATTAAGGAGACTGTTTGAAGCCCGAAAACATTTAGTGATATTTTCGAAACAAAGCTTAAATAAATGATAAAAACAAAGATTACGAATCTAAAAAGAATGGATGCAGACCATTAAGGTTTTTATCTTGTTAAAATCCATAACAATATGAGAGGAAAAAGTATGATATTTTGAATTCAAGACATGTCAATGCTTGTCTAATTCAAGACACTTACTAGTACTCAATCAAATGGATAGTTAGCATGATCCTTAGATAACGGCTCAAGCAAAAGTTGTTCCGATTTATAGGAATATTAGCACCAAGAATTTACTGCTGATTCGTAATATTCAGTATGGATAATTTTCAATGCTCAATAGCGTTTTAGTTACTGTAAGACTGAATATAATTTGTAGATGAGAGCCATTATCCCATAAAGGCAAATTTGTGAATTAGATTCTGGTCTTATGAAAGTAAACAACAAATTCCTCAAAATAAACATCGACTTTATAAATTTAGTATTGATGTAACGATTTTTGATCATGTTATTTATGAATTGTAACATTATATGGATGTATATTAGTCATTTATTATGTTCGATAATGAGATGACATTGAAATGTGAAGACAAAATTATTCTGAACACCGTTTCAACAAAAAACTACAGAAAATTACCTTGTTCCTGGCCAACAATTCCGACAATTTTATTTCTTCAGAATTATCACTTTGTCCATCTACTGAGAGCGATACAGAACTAGTTGAATTACTTGACGAGGACAAGTGATATGAACCGAATAATTCCTTTGGACCTATTTCGTTTGAACGAATCTGCTGAAGGTAACTGGTAGACACAGCATGAGCGAAATTATTGTTAATATGATCATGAGAGCACGAAGATTCAAAGTCAGAGTCAATTTGTCGGGAATTCAAACATGGAGAGATTGATTTCAAACAGTTTGCTTCACAATACTCAGGAAATGGAGTAGATTGAAAGAACTGTGGATCAGATGTGGACCCGAATTTCTTCCCAAAATTTTGTAAAGTATAAATGAATAATAAATAGCTATTTACTACAGATTGTTATTGTTACCATCAAAAGTGTTTCATTGAAATTTTTAGAGCACAAAGAAACATAACAATGTTTGAGCCATTCTGTCCCATTCCGCTATCTACAAATAATTCCCCTACCTACAACTAAGAGAGAATTGTATCTAAATGGTTTAGGCATCTGACTCTCAATTGCTGAGTTGTAATTTCAAGTCAATACATCACACCATAAGGGTATATGAAGTTGACTAGATTTGATGACTCAATACAAAGGGTATGTGCATGCAAAGTATTCTGTCAGTCATGGAGTGAAACACTATATTTATAGACGCTAATAGTCAAATAATTAAATGGGATTTGAGTAGCCTGTATCATCAAAAAGTACAATAATATTAATCGAGTAATTGAGGTCGAAATTCGATTTTCAGAGGACTGCTTTATAGTACTAGTGTTTTTGCATATCTGTCTGTCTCCAGGATGTCATTAATGTCAAAATAGAAAGGAACGACGAGATTGGGGAATCCTGAGCAACACCACTGCTCTATTGGATCAATGGAGATGGATAGTGACTAGCATCGGAATCCATGACGTGCATTTCGTCCTATTTGGGACTCGTCAGCTAGATGTACCTGCATTCCAGAGTAGATGTTCACTCCGGAACTCGAACGAACAAAACTCGCGTCCTGGACTCCACTGCTAGTCACCATTTACCTATGCTTATAGTGTTTGTGACTTAATGCAATATCGAGGCAACCACCACAGGATGTACATGCCAATAAGAGACTGATCAATTGCAACCCTAAACATCAATGAGAAGATTCAAACAATCAATGAGAAAATAAATTGATAGAGATAATACTTTGTTTAAAGTTTTTAGAATGTTGATAGACGCACGATATAATTTTTTGCGTATAATATTAGGTCAAAGTATTATTCAACGAACGAGAGGTGGGGTAAATATTAAGAGGTGAAGTGACTGATGTCTTGGAATGAACGAGACGGTGTTCAAGAATCAGTTTGCGCAAATGTTCATAAAGCAGTAACTATCAAACATAGAGGAAGTTGGTAAATATGTGACCACAGATTGCTTTACTCTGGGTCTATAAAATGAAAGTGAATGACATTACTATCAATTTCGGTGTGAAAGGCTAAACATCGGGGAATACAGTTCGAAAAGGAATGAATTCGATAAATAAAAAGTACGAAACAATATTGAAGCTCGAGGCTAAGGGGGATATAAAGAGGAAGCTCATCTGGGTCACTGTGGCCAATTCTGGACCACGTCACTCAACGCCTCCAATTACTGATTGAGGTTGACCCAGGCCAGTCCCGAAGATACATTTTGTATTTACAGGGGGGAAACACGTCGCAAACATTCTTGGACACGTCATGATGCACGGCGTTCGAAATCTGACACTGATACACAACGTGCTACGCGCCAACCCTCACCCCCAACTTACTACTTGAAGTCAAGAGTGAAGGAGAAAGTCTACTAGGGCACCGAATAACATGCATAAACACTCATATATAGACATTTTATCCCTTGAAAATCAACCCATATCTTAGCCAGTGGTATGTATTTGTCCTTTAGGATATTTCTAATTATCAAGTGACCCTGCTGATTGGCACGCTATAGCAGGATTGTCACTCGAAGTAGCCAGAAGGCTTTACAGTATTTCTGGGTCTCCAATGAACACAACCATGTCATCAGTATATTCCAAGTCAACAAGTCAATCTCTTGGTAGATTAGTCCCTAAAAACCCAAACAACGTAAGTTTCCTCTCAAGCAATGTCTATGATTTTGGTAAGTAAAAGTAGAGTCCTAATAAGCATTACTCATTGTTTTTAGTTCTGCTAACAATCTGTCATAAATCTAAATATGACTGTTGGAGCTCGAGCAAAGAGCCTTCAGATGGTTCGCGTACTTTTCTAGTACATAGTTCAATTAAAAAACTGCTTCAAAACTACCTGGTATATGGAGTTAAATGTTGCCCTCAGATCGAGAAACATGATTGGTTAGTCAAGTGCCGGTACGTATGCATGTTCTAAATCCTGCCAAAAGATAAAGCTTTTCCGGATACATACAAATCCAAGAACGAAATTGGCTTTTCTCGTATTTGCTGATCGTTAACTTCTTTTAGGCGTCAATTAATTCTCGAGACTAATCCTTTAGACGCCATATTCCTCAAAGTTACTTCTTTATGGCTATTACGAGGGAAAACTAGTCCGGTATTATAGATTGGGATGATCGATGATTGAGACAAGTAAGACGGGACTACATTTAGCTGTCCGGCTCTAGATAACATTGTACTCAACTCTTAAAGCTGGACTACCATTCTTGGAGATTTCTAGAGTCAACTGATCAGGTCCCGCTGCTCTCCACCACCCCAAATTAAATACAGTCTTTCCAAACTTGCTAAGTTATCGGATTTGTGTCAATCTCCCATTTAGGTTGCATGGGAATAGCAGGTAACTGAAGAGTGACCAGAGGTCAGTTAATTGTTTGTTGTTCCTTAAAGTGCCTTACCAATCGTTTTAAACTGAGTGGAATACTGTTTTATCTTTTTCGGTAACACTTCCATCAACACATTTTTTAATATCGATTTCCTTGGTGAGTTTGAACAGTTCCCTATAGGTGTTAATCACTAATGTCTTCTCCATCTTTTATTTTTGCTGACCACTACTACTCACAGTCATTACGTAGAAATTTTATCAATCTGCTTCGAAATTTCCTTAACTATTCATCGTTATCAGAACCTGAAGTGATGAGTCTTCAAAGATCCGTTAATTTGGTAAAGACTTCTAGATCACTGAAATCATGAACCGATGAATGTTAAACCACTACTGAAAACTTGGAAGTACTGTATGGCCGTTTCGTAATAATATGACACTTCTCAGCAGCGCGAATCCACGATCCCGCACAAGGAGCTCGAACATGGGGCCTTCGGTCTCGCGCGAACGAGTTCTAGTGAGAAGCTGTAGCCAGTGGAGATTAATCGCGTCGGTTGTGAGGCAGTTACCCACTGAAGACAATGGAAGATAGTCGCGTAATATCGTGGATTGTTCGAAGTTAGACACTGACACCGTTGGATACCGGCTCAGTGGTTTAGATGTCAAGCGTCCGCATGTGGGATCGTGGATTCGTACTGCTGAGTAGTCTCATACTGGGACGAAATGGCCTTCCAGTGCTTCCAGGTTTTCAGTGGTGGTCTAAGGTTGATCAGTTAATGATCTTAATAAAACAATCTCCACAACCCTATATTGCTTCTGGACCAGTTGACTATTCTTAATTTCGTGGTCTAGGTTGGTAACAAATACCACTGTTTTTACAACAGTGAACTGCAGATCATGGCATGCTACTTCAAGATGAACATCCTCTACACGATCGACTAAATGCTTAGTTAACTCTATCTTAAACGTATCCTTGACATTTACATTTTTAAAATGAGTTCAAAAAGGTATCCTGTGAACGTTTTGTGTCCAATAAGTCACAAATAAACACGAGCTCACAAAACAGAGTGGTCGGAATTTAAATAGGATTGAGATTCATCAGTTGAGCCCTTCAAACGACGACTGATAGTAATCTGATCTGTTTGTGTTCATCCTTGTGACGTCTGTGGTCTTCAGGTTATACAGTATTTGCTACTGTTCAAAGTTGTTGCTTACAATTACTAAAGATGTCTGGAAGTAGTTAAAAAAATGGTCGCCAGTTTCTGTCCACTTAGCTGAGATGCCAAAATACACGCCTGAGTATCTTTCAGTTCCACTTAGCCCACCTGCTTGGTCGTTGATATTATTAACGATAATTGCTACATCTGATAGTTTAGCTTTCTGGAGGTTAGATAAATCTTCATAGAGCCTGTCTTTTAATTCGTTTGTGTTGCAATAAGTGGGGGGTAAAGGCAGAAATGAAAAAATACCAGCGCTTATCACTATTTCCGAGTCCTCGTTGTACCACTTATTTTGGCGGCTCATAAGTAACTTTCGAGAGGAATTCATTCGAGGCGTACATGTTGTCTTTCAACTTAGTAATATTTCAGTGGCCCGATAACGACGCCATTTAGGTCGGACGATGTTGTCGACAGGTTCATCACTTTTGAGGCTCCGAATTTGACTCCAATTAGATCGTATGTTGATCGCTGTCGAAATATACATTTCGCTAATCCTCGTATATAATCATCGACTTGAATTGCGTTAGTGAATAACGGAGTTAAATAAGCCACATACGATAATGAATTTTGAATATGTATGCTTCGTGTACTCACCGATTTGAACAGACAATCAGGGAGACGAAACAAAGAGGAAAGGGTGGAACGGATTGGAGAAGGCAAGTATGCCAACTCGATTTAACTGAGCATTAGTCAATATTTATAGCCAGATAAGAATAAGCTACAGGTAAGATAAGATGTGCACTCACATACGCTCATCTAAAAACAGTCAGAATAAATAAGCCAACAAGTGACAAGGTCAAAATGTGGTTTAAGAAAAATGAATAGATTGGCTTGTTCGGAATCTAGAATAAACTATGTGGGTTTAACATATACATAACGTTACACTATTCCCCACAATATACTTACACTGCAAGACAATGAGAAGTTAATGTCGGGTCTCCAGATACACAAAAGGATAGTTACAACTGGATCTCCATACTGGCTAGATGGAGTCAAGTGAATTATCACACCAGCATCCTGTTTCCGTATTTCGGAGACAGTATAAATGGATGACAAAAGATTCTAGAGTCTCACAAGGGTATGTAATCGTAATATACTGGTCCGAAACACTTTTTTTAAATATATGGCTTTACAATATAAGTAAAGTAGTTGGAGCATTTTATCTAGATTATTCAAAGACTATGTTTTGTGTAGAGCATCTGGTTGAATGTTAGTATTCCATGGTTTTTATTTTAACTACTCACTTACAAGGAAAATAATATGCATCTCTAGAAAACTGACACGAAAGTGACAGAAAAATGTCTGATTCGTAGGATGATTTATTTTCTGAGTGATATCACCGACCGAAAAATCTGATATAGCTTTTCTGAAGTTACATTTATCATGTAAACCTGCCTCCAACGTTTGTACATTGATGCAGACCATACAATAGACAGGTCTGGCTAAAAATTCTAAAAGTTTCGATATGCATGTCTGTTATATACCTGAGACTTGTATTTAAGATTCTGGTCAAGTAAAACAAAGTGATTCGCCATCTGCCAGTTCGAAAAGTTTATTTGATATATACTTGTCCAGTGACTCTATTGCATCAGCTTCCAGTTTCCCTGGTGTTAGTGTCATACTGAAGAAATATTGCTGGTAAACTGGACACTAATTAACAGTCGCTTATGCACTTTTTCTTATTTTTTTATTTTATTTTAACACATAGATATTGGTACAAGGGGACATCATATACATACGCACCACACAAATCTCATTTGATTTGTGTGAGGGCTGTGATACTGACCGGGTGCCCAAACCGAAGCAGGTGGTTTTCTTAGGAGGTCACACCCGGAGCCTTCGACCTGAAGGTCTGGTCCACAAGACAGTGGAGCAACGTAAGGACATGCAGTCCCATGGTAGCCGGTGATCAACGATTGGTTCCTAGGCCGTTTGTTCCTTCAGGATACTGGAGCCCATGTCCACTTTTGGTTCGGAATCATGGTTTTCCAACTTCCCTAAGTATACTCTCCTTGTCCACCAACCCGGTTAAAGCGCCGGACATTCGCTTTTCGTCCTCCCGACTTCGTAAACGACACCCCCGCCATGAGAAGGCAATGAGTAGGACTTCCCTGGGAGAGGCTATATACGCGTGGCCATGTGAGAGCATTTCGAGAGGGAGAGCGGACTGTCCCCACTCTCGGCCGTACCAGGGCATTTTTTATGCACTTTTAGGTTAGGTTACACCAAAGTACGAAGAAACGGGGTGAGAAATCATGTTTTTTGTTATCCCTACCTACATACGAGGGGACTGCATTTCGAGTGAAACTAACGCTGATTTCTATGTCCTAATTAGGTCAAATTCATTATAAATCATATTTAATAGATCTTCTGTTGTTAGCTGAGGACTTGAATAAACAGGTATGTGGGTCAAGGGACAAAGAAGAGGTCATTTGAGTGGATAATGAGGACTCGATGGTCGAAGGTTAGATGACGGGGACAGTCTCTATAGTTTTGTGAAGAGTTCAACCTGTTTCTGGTCAGCGCCAAACTCCAGGAAAGTCATCACCAACATGTCAACCAGTGTCCTTTCTATAAAACTGAACGGTGGATTTAAACTGGTCATATTGCAGTCAACTACTTATGGTGTGGATGTGTCGGTGACAGAAGTTTTGCTTGAAGCCTGACAATATTTTGAGATCATGTTTTATCATCGATCCCCAAAGGTTTGCTCACATACGGTTCAGTTTGAGAAAGTGTTTGATATTATGGATGCTAACGATATCATCAAAATGTGCAGTGACATACAGGTTATCCAAATCACAGTGGGAATATGGCATCATTGTCAGTGAAGTAGAGTTAAAACCAGAGATAACTTTAGAGATATTTCCATGGCCATAACAAAAGAGAGGAATAATATAAAAAACACATATGTACTAAAAAAATACATCATTTAAAGATTATTTAGTGAAGTTTTAAATAATCATAAGTTTTTCTTTATATTGAAGAGCAGCTGTAAAAGTAATCTTAATGTAAATGAAAATATTTATAAAACATAGATCACCTTTCTGGAGATTTGTACTAATCGATTTATTACTGTCATCGAAACAATCTTAAGTAGATACATCCACTTACTGAAAAATATGACGTTGCTAGTGCCGGAGAACTTGACCATCGCTTAGTCTGATGAGAACCTTATGGAAGGTAAAGAATAAAAAAGCAGTTAGAAGATGGAAAAACATCTGTTAAAATTAATGTAAGATCAAATTACTTACCAACAAAGTATTTTCCTTCAGTGACGAACAAATCAGTTCCAAATGAAAATTTATAGCTTTTACGGAATTCTTTAGGCAGACCAACGGATTTGCGATTACTAACAGAATTAGGACTCTTAAGCGATATATGACAATTCCAACCACATTCTAACCCCAAACGTTCAGCGAACACTCTACTTCGAAGTTCATTTTCCTTAACAAAATACACGAGAAATAACACTTTTACAAAATACCGTAGTAGACCAACCCGTGTTATTTAAGAAAAAGATAATTAATAATAGTGTCACTAATAAGTTTCTGGGAAAAGTAGTTATGAATTAAGATCGGGAAATTCGCTCATTAAAAGCACTGAAGATAGTTTCAAGGGTTGGAAAGTAAAACAGCATATCTTGTGAAAAGAACTACTAAGGAAAGGTTTTAGTGGTCACTCTCTTGAATAGTTCTTTTAATAATACACCTCGAACGAGAAACTATGTGTTACAGTGGTCCATTAAATAATAATCATATAATTAATGACCACGTATTAAGCATATTGTTTAGAAACTCCGACGCACCATACGTCACGTGAAATAAAACTATAAATAATACGTCGCGTAATGTTGTGAACGAAATCCCATCAAAACATTTCAAGAAATTAGTATCGTTACTGCTGGGAATAGTTAAGCATATATATTGTGAGATTGTACAGTATGTGTAAAGACGTAAAAATATAAACTATTTAACTGACATTATAAATGATTCAATAATTTCCAGTTATAAATATAGTCAAACAAAAAATCATCCTATCGAAAAAGTCCTTTGCATTACCTTAATAAGAACAAACACAGAATAATACTAAATACAAAATATAACATACAGTTTATCAGTGAACGTGTACAATGACTTCTGAGTTACCCTTATAGATCGTGATACTACTGGGTTGCAAACTAAGTTAATTAATTTTTGGAACCATGATATAATCGTTGACAGTTGAGTGGCTTTATTAACTTACAGGGAGTGGGTTGTCTAGGTTTACTAGCTACCTAACAGCCACATACTTTACAGAAACGGGCACCAAACTGGAATAAGTGACGTGACCATCAGATTAGTTTTAAAAGCTACGGATAGTAGCTAGTCCTTTGTATGGCTTAACAGTATTTTCCATGGAAGTATCTCAAAAGTAGTTTGGGATGAAGTAATAACAATAATACTTACCAGACAATTGTTACTTACTCGAGAAAAATGTACAAATCGTATACAAGCTTGATGAAGTTGTTTAATGGACTTCACAACTTGAGGATTTGCCTGATACTGCATACTTATTAGACCTAAGAATATTTGATTGTTCAGTATAACGTCCACTTCTTTCTGATCAATACGTACATTACTCCTAGAAAATAACGGTAAAAAATGAGGTAATTGTGAAAAATATTTACAGGAGTTATTTAGATGAGGAAAGACAACCATTATATATAAAAGGGGTCTAACATATAAGAGACTGAATGTTGTCTGAACGAATGGTCATTGAGAATCAGCTAAATATTGAACTTTTATGGTAAAAGGACTAGTGGCTGTATTTGATTTTATAAGTGGTTTATGAATTTCGTAATAATCATTTATTTAAGATTTAGAAGCAAAACGTTAAGTTGCAAATAAATTCTGAAAATATTTTTGATTTGTAATGTAAATTTGTTATCGTATACGAATAATTTATGCAAAAGGACAAGCTTGATCTTTAAACTATAGGATAGATATAACAGGTTTTTGTAAGTTAGATTTAATAAATTAGGTGGTGGAATAGGAAAGACAGTAACATAAAATCTTGAATAAAAGTCCATTGATTTGAGGCATATGGAACTAAAAGATGGTTATTAAAATAACTAAGAACATAAATGAGAAATAACAAGACAACTAAAACTTAGACGAGGATTTGGAGTGACTGCAGCTGGATTATTATGAAGCGGACCGCTAGTTTTTATTACTGTATGTTATATCCGGTGAAGATTAAATTACAGGTAACTTCCGAGGACTATTCATGGACTAATATTCTATAAATATTCTTATCGTATAACTATTCAACAATTACATTATGTATATTTATACCCCTCTTATGACAAGCTTTATTTTGGCCTATAATTTATTATTGTACGATTTACGGTTCTTAAGTTATGTTCAGTTTATTAACTACTGCCTCCCACATTCACAGCCACTTTTTGGGCTTATTTGTGTACAAATATTATTTCCTATTTTATGGTACGTTGCGGTCTGTGTGATTGATATATAAACCAAGTATGCCTGAAATAAACGACCTGCTCTGATTCGGAAGCTGGTATTGTGTTCTGGACTCAAGTGGAAGGGCTCGTAGGACATAGGACCAATAAGGACGCTAAACTGCCCACACCGGTTGAACGTCATTGGTTGGCCTAGTGTGAAGATTCGTATAAGTCGTACTCGGATTGGTAGATAAATCGTGTGATAGAAAAGTCAGACATCCAAGGTCATAACACTGTATCATATCAAATAGTTTAAGTCCTTGCAAGGGTATCCAGCAACTAGACAGTGACTTTATGAATTGATGGAATTTTTTAGTTTGGCTAGTAACGACTTTTTTAAATTAATCCTGCTTCAATTAATATTCTATGTTGGAGTAAGGAATATTGTTTATTATGAATGACACTTGGTTCAATAACCTTAATTTACACAAGTTGAACACCTCAGTAACTAAGTTTACTCTTTTGGTGCTTCTCCCTTGAGATCACTAGAACTATCGCCTAACCATAGACGTCGAACGGATTAAAGATGACTTTGACTGTAAACCAACAAAAGTACACATGTCACAACCTAAATGACTTCATCTACTGGTGGCAGATCAGCACAAACTTTACTGATACACATTAAGATTTGATTAATACATTCATTTCTAAGACTTAAATCTTAGTTCTGTTGGGTTTGTTGTACCCGATTTCTAGCTGCATGATGAATTGCAGTGAACTCTAACATCTTAAAGACCGTTTCAGCAAAGCTAGTTCTTTTGTAACTATTAAGAAAAGAGCTTTGTTCTCTTTAATAAATTGGCCAAGTTTTGCTATTTTATCTTATCTCTGATTTATCACAGCCATTCTAAATTTAGTTCTCATTCAATAACATATTTGGGATGTGATTAACTGTACACTGACTGAACTGCTCTTCACAGTATACGGACCAAATTTCCAATATCTAGTTAGAAAATATTAATGTTCTTTGATGTTGATTTTAGTGACTGGCTTTTTAGGTGAATCTCTTCGGCTTCTCCCACTTTCCAACTATCATATGTGGAACTGCGTTTACAATCAGTCAGAGGATTGTTTTACGAATTCTCCCCAAAATGATACTTGTTTTTAGACTAAATACATTAGGATTGCATTAGGAAAACAGTCAACAAAAACAAATCATCTAACTCACTTCTTATCATGATCCAAGTTATCAGCGTTACTTTTGCAATGATCAGTTTCCGAAACAAAATTAGCATTTGGAAATTCATTCAAAACCAAACAGTTACTATCATACTCACCAAAATTACTACTTATTCGATTATGGTTAATTCGATGTTTTCTAGAAAATCTATCACTTCTCTTTGACGGTGAATGTTTTAGAAGTTTATCATTTGAATACGTTCCTTCCGTTTTATCACACCCTTCTTTTTTCCGATCGCTATGCTGCCAATATTTAGAGAAGGAATTAAAACCGAAGTTTTTCATATTCTTTATAAATTTTAGTCGATAATTATGTAGTCTGCTGGATTTTGAAATAGCTTGAGATCTTCTAGAAATATCACTATCACGAACAATCCTGTCATAAATGGGACTGGTACTGTTAATATTGTTCGTAACACGCGGTAGTAGAGAACGATTTGAATATGATCGACTGCAAACCAGGTGTTCCAGTACCTTTCGCTGTATTACTGGTGAAATATCATCAGACTTAATTAAATAAGAGAAGAGAAACACAAAAAAAACAGCATTACTATGCACTGCTGGAAATTTAGAAATATAAATGTTTTGCGACTGGGGTCAGTATTAAACCCCACATTCACATAATTGTAGTTGGTTGTTACGTTGCACAATATGAGGTAATACATATTATCAAACAGAAATATTCCCCTAAATATCAAACATTTAAATCGAAATTACGAACTAATCGAAGACAACCAGTAGAGTCCTATAATTGAACGTAACGGTCGTCCAGTGTTTACAAGTTCTGAATGGTTGTCTGACTTTGATTAGTTCATGATTTAAATGAAGTTGGATAATCTACACGCCTCTATACTGTCAAACGTTTTCATTATTTTACAGTTATGTGCATTTTTACTAACAAATTCTCTTTATTATATTTATGTCCTTACCTTTTTTCATCAGTTGAGTCTGTTTTCCTCTGATTTTGATAATTCCAGCTATTTCGATCAATGAACTTGTGTCTGAAGTTGTCGCGCTTCTATCCCACGCGAAAGAAATTTATGCACTTTCTATACCTGTTTAATATAATGGGTTTTTTTCTGAATACTAGCCGAAACACTAGATACTTTCAAAGATACATGAATATTTTTATTGGAAGTGGTTTGAGAACAATTAAAACTAGACCTTAGAATGACTTATATTTGCAGTTACAAACAGATCTGTTCATCACTTACGAATGTATGTGGATACATATTTTGACAATATGCTAACAGATTGTGGTGAACAAGATCATGCCGAGTAGTGACTGAAGTTTTTGGAAATATCCACAAGATAAACATCCTGACAACCCTTCTAGGAAGGTGTGGTTTTCGATCATTATTTGGGAGTGTCATAAAATCCAGAAGAGTGAAAGGGTCTTTTTTTACCAAAATCATAGTAATTTTTAATCTATCTTGTGTTATAAATCATTATTAGCTAGTTATCCCAGGTAATAAGATTTAAATAATCGTAGGTCAATTCTGAAATACACAAACTGAATATTCTTCATTTATTTCTGTCAGTTTTGTGTTTAGTGAGTCACTAAATCTAAATCTCAATAACTCGACAGGTACGATTGAGTTCGAATACATTAGGATCATATTAAGAATTCGTACCGCTGAGCTGTCAAGTTTTAGGAGGAAACGTCCTTTCATCCGCTGATAGGAGTAAGTGGTTTTGCAAAACAAACTTCAAATGTGATGAACAAGAAAATATTTATCATACTTGAGGAGGTAAATTGAATATAACGACGGTAAATATGTATAAATCTGCAGAAATAAGGTAGTGAGTTATAGAGAAGAGATATGTAAACATATTTTATAAGCTCTGTATCATTTAGAAAACAATCATGAAAGTAACAATTAGAAATACTAAATCTTACTCCTGGTAAACGAAGCATGAAGATATCTGACGAACTAGGGAGATTACCCAACAACAGTCGATAAGATTCCTCAATTTTATCAACCAACGGAGAATAAGCGAATCCAATACAGTATGCAGACGACAGATGACGATTGTGGAACCCCAAGATTAGTTCACGTTCTCTATGTGACAGTGGTACGATATCCCGCCCATCCCAAACATCAGAACACAAGCTAGCAAGAATATCACCAGTACCTTGAGAGAGCAGTTGATAACCACTTTGGATATTTGGATCAGAGAAGACAGAGCTAAAGCAATAAGCCAAATGAATTCGGTCCTACAGTGAGTAAAAATCAAGTTCCGATAGTTAGCATTACACTATTTCGGAAATCCAACTGACTGAAATGGGTGTATCCAACCATATTCAACAGTAAAATATATTGGCCTTACATTTGTTGCACGAATTACTTAACAAAAATCATAACACGTAAAAATATGAAAGTAAAAGTGTACGTTTATTGGAATATGGTTTGATCATAAACTAGTTGAGTCATCATAACGCTATTTATGAAGTAATGTACGACGATGATGTGCTAAAAAACCAGTTGTTTTGATTTTTTAAGTTTCCTCAACCGAAATTTTATTTCAATGGTTGAGATCATAAGTCAACTGAAGCTAGAGCATCATGGAAAACCTGGAAGCACTGGGTGGCTGTTTCGTCCTATTGTGGGACTCCTCAGCAGCACACATCCACGATTCCACCTCACGAGATCCGAACCCAGGACTTATCAGTCTCGCACGTAAGTGCTTAAGCGCTAGACTACTGAGCCGGCATCCATCGGTGTTGATGTCTAATTTCAACCAATTCACGAAATTTAGTGACACATCCACCATTGTCTTCAGTGACTTATTATCTCACAACAGACCCGGTTGAACTCCACTGGTCACTGCTTCTCACTAGAACTCCAGGAAATACCTCGGCGGGGTCGTGGATGCGTACTGCTGAGGAATCCCACAATAGGATGAAACGGCCGTCAAGTGCTTCCAGGTTTTCCATGGTGGTCTAGCTTCAATTGACTAATGATCTCAAGTATTGAAATTACTATAATATCCACAAAAACCCTTCTGATGAAATCTTATTGATGAATTGAGTTAACACCACACAGCATAAGAACAGAAAAAACATCAAAGGAGTAGCGGAAGTAATACCAGCATTATTGGAAAACTGAAAGAGATAAAGAAGTTTGGACGAAAGATCATGTCAAATACTTAGAGAGGAGCAAAGAAAGGATTAATCTAAGTCACCAAGGCAAATTGTCCCATGGTTCCAACGACTAATTACAGTTAACTAACGCATAATTAGGCAACATTATTGAATATAGTAAATAACTTTTAGAATAATCAACACATTAGTACTACGGTTTGGTATAAAGCTTTGCTTGAAATTAAAAAGCTACTGTAAAGTCACAAACATCGAAGACGTAGGATGAGTGGAGTGGGTTTTATGCACAAGTAACAGTGACATACTGTCTCAAAAATTCAGTTAGTTAAACGACTACTTCTTAAAGGAGTATAGAAAACTAAACACTATGCAGTTGGGGGGTCTCTAAACTAGTTACGCTAGTAACCAACTTGAATCACTCAATTGTATCTATTAATTGTCATGATAAACTGAGTAGTCTGTTAAGTTAACGGTAATCATTCAGCTTTGCCGATAATCTTCATTACATTCCCTTTTTACTGTGTGATAGTTTAAATGGAAAAAACTATGCGCATGCTCTTATACGGACAGTAAATTAGCCTCAAAATGTACTTAGAGAAAAGAAGATGAGAAATGAGATAACATTTAACTTGCACTATGAAGCTAGCCGGTTATAAAGAAACAAGATAACACCACAAAAACAGTTAATGTAAACAAATAGAGTCAAACCTACATAATTTGTATTTTCTTTTGTCGGGAGGATTTCTTCGGAAGATAATTTACTTTTCACATCAGTAGCGTTAGAATTAGAAGTATATGCGGCTGAGCAAATAGAATAAGCACCCAAGCATCCATGAGTGCCAAAACCACTTAAGGCACCATCACGAAATCCTATCTGACTGGCAAGACCACACAGACAGAAAGTAAGCGGCAGTGCAGTAATACATGACGAAGAATCGAAATATTTTTGAGTTGCATTTACTTTTTCAAAAAAGCCAATTCTCTGTTTCGCAATAGCAGAGTGACAATTGTTGAGAAGAATCGATAAACCGATTGGTTTAAGCGATGAAAGGAAACGATCCCAGCGCGGCCTTTCGAAATGCGATAAAAAGGGTCGATAAAAATCGGTTCGTAAGTCTAGAACTACCGGTGCAATACAACTGCTCAGTGGGAACACAGCACTTCGTTGAAAACCAAGTGTATCATTAGGATCACAGTTAGTGGGTAGCTGATTTTGGATGGGACTTTGAGTCTTGTAAAGTTCTCCTTGATTAAGTCCAACACACTACGAATTTGAATAGAAATCGAATATAACCGAGTTTTGAAATAAATGATTTATTCCATCAATATACAGAGTAATTTTGATTTGGGAATCCCTTTACACATTAAACCAAAAATACGTTTATTCATGGTGATAAAATGATTGCTTACGTCCAATAAATTTCCGCAACAATTATTTTTTAAAATAAATTCACACTGAGGTTTTATTTAAAATAGACATTTCATTTCTAAGAATATTAACCGTAATTTAAACAAGGTTTGATGAGCGAATCGTAAATCTAGGGGAACAGTTAGGTATAAAACAAATTCACTTTTATCGCTTTCGGACTGTCAGAAGTTGTTCAACTGATTTTAACACCTGGCTCAAACCACTTCCAAAACTTAATAATTCACTGACTTTTAGGAAGAGGTAAAATAATTCAAACCTGGAAACAATACAAAGCATTTTATATATTTGCAATGATGGAAACTGAGGCTGTGAGAAAGACCATGCACTTCAAATTAAAGCAAAATACCTATAAATAAGCACTTTAAAACAGCATTTTGAGTATTTTCCAATACATCTGAAAAATATATCTTGATTTCCACTGAATAGGATATTTGATACTAGCCTGCGAGAGTTAGATCTTTTACTCCATAAATCCACCAACTACCTACGAAAAAACGAAAATCGGATCGATTGCACAAATGATTGTTAATTAACATATCTGTTTACGAGTTTCTCTGGAGTTCAAAACGACTATTAAATTGATGTAAAGACAGCAAGGCATTCAGCTGAATAGTTCTAAATTAGTAAAAACAAGTCTCCCAACAGAAAAATGAGACAAATTTTTCAGACGTTATATAATTAGTGAAAGTGTTTACTTTCTACTAGGTTTGAAAATCGCACTGTCATTTGAGGAAGTTCAATGACTGTAACGGGCCAAAATTTTTAATGTAATACATCTTATCCATTACATCGCTAGTGGTGAATTAAAAATGACGAATAATCTCATAGAATTAACCTGATAATGAGGATAATACGCTAACATTTCACCATATTACTATTATATTTCGCTAATTTTAGGTGGTTATTTAAACCCATCATCATAGATTTTTAGACACTGATAACAAATAATACCCGGGATTGGTAAACTAGTTCATGGAAGTAACAATCTAAGAGAATATATTAGGGATTCTTTTTCTCTACTGGAGGAATCTACATAGTACAACCAGTAAATCTATCCACAAAAAATGAATATTAAAAAGCAGTTACATAGACGACTGGTCAACAGATTCTTTATGCATGGACAAAAAATTAGGTTGCTGACACTTTAAATAAGAGTAATGATTAAAGAGGACTAAGCAATTGATAAGAGTGCCAACCTATCTAAACTAAGAAGCATGAACCATTATGTTTGAGATGCTTCTTCGGGAAATACATAGTGCTGAGTGGTGAAGACGGACGACAGGTCATATGAGCATATTAAAATATGATTTCAATTCATGAAGTCACTGGGTTCCGGTCTGAGCTATAACGGAAGAAGCAAGCTTAGTCGTTAGTATCTCCTTAAGATTGGAAACTAGCGACCGAAACACATAGATGAAGTCACTATACCATCACTTTTTGTCTGTTCATTATACCTTTTTCCTACATATCCTCTTTTGAACAGTTGAAAGCAGTGGCAAGCTAAAACAACATACGTCCACAACCCCGTATTGGACATGTGTAGAAATAACACAATTTCTGAAACAATTATAAAGTAGCTCCACACTAGAACGTAGACTTCCTGTGATTTCTGGTCATTTGAAGTGATTTTAATGGTTTGAAAGTCAAACGAGATAAATGGTTCCATAGTTAATCTTTGATTATCTTTCTGAACTATTATTGCTACAAGCTTCGGACAGAAGTTGCTTAAAAAGCAAAAGTTACTTGTTTTTTTGTGCGCAGAAAACCCGACGTGTTCAGTTGGCCTGATTTAGAATTTTGATGATCCAAACGTTCTTCCGCTTTTGAGTTTGATTTATAGACATTTTGAGACTTGTTTGTACCAAAACTCTCCTGATGGTGATGATTGTGATGGCGTCTGTGGAAGAAAAACATTTTCTCTGGAGTTGGTAACGACTGACTTATAACACCTTCTTGGTTGATACAACACACGGAACTTAGTGTTCCCAAAGTAAGTACAATATTTTCCATATCTACGTTCGTCTGAAAGTAAAACTATGATTACAACACGTTTAAATAAGCCACCGTAGAATGATGTGAATAATGTATTGAGAAAACATTTCGTAGATAAATAGAATGCAATAGTAATAGTAGTTGTAAGCAACAAGACATGTAGTATAGAATTATCACGTAATTTACCTTTACATTTATCAAGTTACTTCCAATACAATTCATTTTTTCAGGTTCATTCGATGTAACAAAGTGGAAAGCCCCTCCTAGTAATCCTGTTACACCGTAAAGTTAGGAACGAACTATGAGTTATTATTGAAGTTAAAATGTTAATAGATATATGTAGTATGTATCTCGCTATGGATTAATCGATGACGACATAAACTGAAATCAGAAAACTCGAGTGCATTTGGTACGCAAACTGACTACTTAAACACAGTTTTGTGTAGAATTGGCTCCCTAGTTTCTTATCCAAATTAAAGAATGACTAATAAGGCTTATTCCACTAATTAAGACAATAGAGCAGTACAATTTACGTCAAAAATAAATTACCTTCACAGTTAAAAGATTCTACATTATTAAGCTTGTTCACTTTGCTCTATTTAACATTGAGTTTACGCATTTCTCAGAAAACAGCAGTTTTTTGTCGTCATTAAGACTTAAAATAACCGATACTCCTTTGCAACCTCTAAACGTCATAGATCTTCAAAATATTACAGAGTTATTTAGTTTGGTGTAAGACACAATCCCATTTTGATAGGTTGGATAATTTGTGTACACAGGTAGTTAAATAGTTCAAAAACTGTTACTGTACCGTTGATACATCCATTCATCCCGTACCAATATTTACGTTTAGAACATGATGCTAATTCGAACTTTGAATGAGTTCTCAACTGTTTTTCTTTTATTTTTATCCCTACTGTAGGTCTTTATCACCATACTTACCATGCTGGTTTGACGAGTCGAACTGATAAATAATTCATGGATTCTGATCAAAAGCGATAGTGACTAATGTAGTGGGTTGTGAGGAAGGCCAGAGCGACCAAAACAAAACGTAATATCAACTCATGAGATTATTAGCTGCTAGACTGAGTTGTATTTGTATGTGTAGACTACCTAATTTAGAGTCGGCTTGATTATTGTAATCAATCGGTGGGGACTTGATGTGATATGGCTTAAAATTGCTCACAATGATGCAGACCCATTTACTTTTTATTTTCTCTGGGATTCTGACGCTAAAAATCGTCTTATGCGACTATCTTTAATTTTCTCTACTACAACTGGAAATAATACCATTTAGAATATTCCAGCAACTTTTGATAATATATACTCGTTGTGAATATACATAACAACTTGAACAAACGTACATATCGCAATTTCTACGTTACACATAAATGACTGAATAATTTCTGACTTATATATACCAAATATTGTTATCTAAGAACTATAAAATAAATGCTACACTCAAGTATAACTCTTGAACAACATCACTGACAGCCGCAGAATTCTCTGTTGATTCAACACAATCTTGTGTAAATCGTTAAAATACCGTATAACCTTTGAATTTAGGTCTCGTTAGTCATTAGTTAACAGAAAAGTATACATACAGGGCACCTTAAGTTCATCAGCTATAAATCACTGAAAAGTAATGATAAAAGAAAACAAAAACTGATCTTTTAGAGAGCCAACTTCTACTCTGCGGAGCAAACGAGAAAAAAAACGATCATTTACAGACCAGAGGGTAAACTCTTGGTAAATACATAAACAAGCTTAATCTTACTTACCATGAAGCCAAAGTAGCGAAGATTGGAGATAAGCGAGTGAAAAGTTAACATGTTTGATTTGGAAGCCTTAGACATGTTGGGTTGGAAAAATACATGAGGAGATTTGAAGTCATTGCCATCAATAAGTTTAAAATGATCCTGAGAATTAGAAAGAACATTCTGGAAGTGGAATGTGACAACAGCAGTGGCGATCATCCATATGAAATACAATGAGAAGCTCGAAGAAGCAATAACAATACCAAGAGTATGGGCAAACCAGATTAGCAAGCGATAAAACTGATGACTAAGATCACCAATAGGTAATGCGCAAATAAATATTGAAGTTAGAAAAATGAAAGTTATAGAACACTTGATAATTAAAGAAACCCAAACTGCACTATTCACAACTTTATAAGCAAGCGGTTGAAACGTATAACCATTTTCAACTCTTGATCTAGAAGCGATATCAAGGTAAGAAGCCAAAGGAGAATGGATGACAACGGCTACCACAGACTCATCTGATTTTTGAATGGATGTAAACGAGGTGGATATCAGGTTACAACTGAGTTTCTGAGGGACATAAACATCACCTGGAAAGTAAATGTGATTCTAGTTCAGAGGTCGAAAATTAAAAATGTAAATACCCTTACTTCATTTATTTGTTTGCAGAAAGCGAAGATTGTCTGACCTGGTTTAATAATAATAACATCACCTGGAACAAGTAAAACAGCAGGCAAGACCACGATTTTTCCATCTCGGATAGTAAGGTGGGTATCCAAACCAACCATCTCATTTAAAAGTCCATTTAGACATGGTGAATATGAAAGCATATTCGGCTTCAAATTTCCTACAAACAATTAGAAACAACATACTTACTAAGACAAGTGACGGAAGATCTTAAGAATGTCTTAAACTTTGTACAAGATGAAATCATCCTTTTATAACGCGTTAAGAACGTTAAGAACAAAAGGCTACTTGACAAGAGGACAAAGAGCAAATCCCCAGCAATCGATATCCAGGAGTAGCTAGAAATATTAGACCAGTCAAACAATTTAGTTTATAGGACATAAAGTACCTGGAGGAATATCGGTATGAAGCAACAGAACATGATATAAGAATAAGTGACATTATGCTCAACATAAGAGACAATATATCCGAACGAGACCAACGCAGCAATACAATACCACTTATTGGTCTTTCACTTAACGTTTCCAACATTTCGCAAAATAGTTCCAAAGCCACTGGAGTTTCTAGACCCTGACTCATTGTAAAACTGTAAGCATAATCTCCTCGACAAACAAGGCATAACAATAATCTTCCCAAATCAACCTTGAGAGATTAAATCTGGCTCAGACACACAAACAGTTTAAAAACTGATTCCGTTCAATGATGGCGTGCTACAGTAAACAGGTACTCCAATGCTAAGAAAATTGAACTCCGAGGATTCCATAATTTTCACAGTGGTAAATGAGTAATCGCCCACTGTTATACAATTCAAAGATTAATCACACGAGTTTTTCCATAGTTTTATAAAGGAAAAGCAACATCTAATACTTAATACACTTTGTCAGTATTCATTATATGTACATGACTCCTAAAATGAAACTGATATGTACCTGAATGTGGAATTCCCACGCAACCACCAATAATAATATATATTACTTGTTACCATGTTCAATTAATGTATAAATTGGTCATATTTGTATCAATAAAAAGTTCAGATGGACAATCGAAGACGTGAAAACAAACAGGGGTACTAACGTAGCTTCAGATCACCAACTGGTTGTGTTCAAGATGTAACTGAAGCTAGAGAAACACTGAACAGCTGGGGAAACTGCAGTACAAAGGTTCTATACATCACTCCTTCGAGATACTGACAAACCCAAACAATTCAAGATAACTTTCAGCAACAGGTTCCAAGCTTTACAATATCTACTGGAAGAAAAGAAGACTACCATGGAAGAAAAATGGAAAGGGATAAAAAAATCACACACTTTGACGTATCAGGAGGTGTTCGGCCGGAATAAGCTTCATCATAAAGAATAGATCTCTATGGAAACCCCGGACAAAATTCAATAAAGGAATGACAAGAAGACAGCGATTAGGAACAGCCGAACAAGAACAGAGGAAGTTGACGCACAGGCTGGATACACAGAAGCAAACAAGCAAGTGAAGAAGAGTATTAGGGATGACAAGTAGAAATATGTGGTAGACCCAACAAGGACAGTGGATAAAGCTGCAAGAGAAGGAAATATCAGACAACTATATGGCACGACGAAGAAACTGGTAGGGAAACACAATAAACCAGAGAGACAGGTCAGTGACAAAGAAGGCAAGTCAATCACTGAAATTTCAAGAACTGGAGAACAGATGCGTAGAATACTTTAGGGAACTCTTGAATAGGTCATCTCCATTGAATCCGCTAGGCATCAAAGCAGCACCTACAGACCTTCCTTTAGATGTCACTTCACCAACAATCGAAGAAATCAGGATGACCATCAGGCAAACCAAGTATGGAAAAGCATCAAGACCTGACAATTCACCAGCCGAAGCACTAAGGTCAGACATAGAAGTAACTGCAAACATTCTCCACATTCTATCGAGGAAAATTTTGGGGGAAAATCAAGTGCTGACGGACTGGAAATAAGGATGTCTCATACAGATACCAAAGAAAGGAGATCTGAGCAAGTGTGAAAACTAAAAAGATACTACACTACTGTCGATACCGGTGCAAGCTTCCGACATAGTGTTGCTGAACCGGGTGAAAGATCCAGTGGACGTCGAGCTTCGAGGTCGACAGGTTGGAATCCGTAAGGATCGGTCGAGCACAGACCAGATTGCGACACTACAGATCATCGCTGAACAATCAATTGGATGGAATTCATCACTATACGTCAACATCATTGGCTATGGGAAGGCGTTTGACAGTGTGGATAAGAAGAACTTATGATAGTTTTCTTTGACACTATGATGTGCATAGTAAGTGATGCAGCGGCAGTTTCTGCATCAGTAGGCCTTAACGTGCACAAAGGATTAAGCCATATCCTGATAGACTTTCAGGTACATGGACAACATCATCGATGGGCGTTAAGGATTGGCAAAGCAAGAGCCGCATTCCCACAACTGAAGAATGTATGGAACTGCAAACGGCTGTCGGTCGACATCAGAGTGAGAATCATCAATACAAACGTCATGACAGTTATATTATACGGAGCTGAGACTTGTAGAACTACCGCAATCAGCATCAAAAACGTACAAGTATTTATAAACAATTATCTACGCAAGGTACTAAGTGCCCATTGTCCGGGTATCATCTTCAACAGTCTACCTTGGGAACAAACCAGCTTCCAGGTGAAGTGGAAATTAAGAAAATACGTTGAAAGTGGATAAGATGTATATTTAGTAAATCATCCAACTGCATCACGAGGCGAGCCATAACTTGGAATCCTGAAGGGGACCGAAGAAGTGGGAGGCTGAAGAATACTGAATCAGTAATTAGAAGCAAACACAATAAGGATGAATAGCAAATGGAGAAAATCGGAAGGGATTGCCCAAGACATATTTGGATGGGGATTGGTGATGGGCAGCCTATGATCCTCCCCTCGAGGATTAACAGGTCTAAGTAATAAGTAAGTAAAATTTACGTTCAATGTCATGGGAACCCAAAAAGCGGGTAAGCATGTATGTCTGCATATGCACAAGATATTCATACTCCGTTGAATGTCAGACTACTCCAGACAGTTAAAGGACTATCGTGCCCTGTATGCCTTATTAAGTGACAGCAGAGTTTTCAAAAGCTTCGAACCTTTTGATGAACCGTGTAAAATGCAATCCGTGACGTTCACCATAAAAGGAAAATCGGAAAATTACCTGAAGTTCTAAGCTTCCGTCTCCTTATCCGTTTTTGGTATACCCACAACTACATAGCTCTTCATGTCAAGTAGTTTGTTCCTAACAATTAAACGCTTTAAGAAAGTACCAAAAATCAGCCAAAGGTGATATAGGGATTTCAGTTTGACTTTGGATCAGATTCATTATAATCCTGAAGATGTTTTGTGGTATTCAGTGCCTCATAATCTTTATATTTCAAAGTTGCTTAAAATTCACGACACTTTTCTCATCAATGAATAAGTTGTAATAGCTGTTAAGAGGAACTAGTATATTTGGCTATTCTTAACTGCATCGAAATTCTGCATCCAGGTACATACCAGTCTCATCTTAAGAATCATGTACGTTTAATGAATACTGGTTTAATATTGTCATATCGTAACTAGGATTAAATTATGTGTAACTTCTGGGAATGATTTAAGAACTGCTATAATGTGTTATATCCCAGTGAGAATTATGAATGGTAACTTTTGAGAACTATGTATGGACAAATATTATATGTATATTCTTAATGTATAACTATTCAGTAGCTAGATTGCGTTTATTTGTACTCCTCTTATTGCAAGCATTATTTTGACCCATAAATTTGTAGCGTGGCGTCGAGTTGAGATTAACTATGAACACCGCTACCAAGAAACACGTGCCAAATGAATCAGAAGGCGAGGGTTGGACGTAACCAAACAGATCCATAAGATCCCCGAGAAGCCAAATACCAGAAGGCAATTAATGGACCAAGTCGAGCTATATTTGCTGGCGATCTCGTGGCATCGAAAGGATACCGAGATCGTGCCAGGATACAAGCTTCGTTACAGAAGGTAACCGAATTCGCGCGAAGTTACAATTGAAGTGTAAGTATAAGAATGGAAGCACAAAATAGTTGTCATTAGCACAGTCAAACAAAAGCACGTTAAAACAAACACTGGTACAGTTGGTTATAATAATAATTGTTTTTATTAAACCAGTCGTGTTCTCGTGATAAATGTGAGTCACTACAGGAGCCCCCCGCTAGAAAGGGTTAACGCTTTCGATAAATAGCGGTTTAAGTCGTGGGACTGATCGGCTAACGAGCGATTGTAGGACGGAAGAATTGGCGAACAGGAAAGCGATCGTTGATCGTCGAGTTGCCAACGAAGGTCGTTTTCGGAGAACGGTACCAGGAGCGATGTGCTGTATTTGTTGCTTGAGTTGGCATGCTACACGAGAGTGGTTTGTATCCAGAATCTGAAGAGGGCGTTCGTAGGGAATGCTGACCAGAAACGCTGCAGACGAAGGACGAAACCACGTTGAGCCAAAAGACCAGAAGCGACCGTAACGACCAAGTTCGAGACCAAGCGTATGCCAAGCATTCGAAACCAATATATCGACTGAGTGCGTTGACAAGAGCGTGGGTGGCCAATCCAGCTTTCGCCAAAGTTGACTGAAGTCGACGGAACCAAACGGAGATGGTCGAAGGCGTGGGCTCAGGAAACAAAAAGAAAATCAAAAAAGAGAAGAGTGTAGCATGCAAGTAGCATAGGAATATTCCTACACCGTATCGGTTGTCGACTGTGCGACTAGTCGAGGAAGCGTACGGGTAACCGTACTCGGCGACCGGAACGTGAGACGATAGTCTCGTTCGCGTCGCGTGAGCCTGCAATCTCATCCGAAGTCAAGGGCGGCGTGGTCTGCTGATCTGGACGTGAGACTGTGGTCTCGTCCGTAGACGGTGCAGATGACGCGCGCTGTTGACTGGGACGTGAGAATGAGGTCTCAGATGTATCTAGCGTGGGACCTGAAGAAGATTTAAGGATCCCGCTAGGTTTGATAGGTCTAGCATTGAATCTCAGGGTGTCAGATAGGGCACTGTCATCGACGTGTGCTGGTTTGAGACGATCAATGCTGACGATCTCGACGCGTCCATGTCGATCAACCTTGAAGGTCTTTTCGTGACGAGCGATCACGTGAAAAGGGCCTTCGTAAGGTTTTTGCCAAGGTTTGCGTACCGAATCTACTCGTATAAAAACATGTGAACAGGTAGATAACTCTCGAGGGAGAGCGACCTGTCGATGTTGTATTCGAGTTGACACCGGAGACAGCGTTCGCATAAATGCAGGCAGTCGATGGACGTAGTCTGATTTACCGAAATTAGGTCTGCTCCGTGGTGTGAAGAATTCTCCGGGCAGACGCAATGTCGTGCCGTATACAAGTTCAGTGGCGGAACATTGTATATCTGCCTTCAAGCTCGTTCTCACCCCTAAAAGAACGAGCGGTAAGGTTTCGTGCCAGTTGCCGTTTTCGTGTGCTCGTAGAACACTTTTAAGTTGGCAGTGAAACCGTTCAACTTAACCATTTGGTGCTGGGTGGTAGACGGATATGCTTATGCGTATGCATTCCGTACCAAGCAGCCGGGTCAGCGAGGAGAATCGTTAATATAATAACATTTCTCGAATAAAGCGTGGAATTCATCATCACGCGAATA